ATATATATATAGTGGGTGCACTTAAAATTAGTATGATCGTATGCATGTCGTATAATTATACATCTACAGCTGTATCCATGGCATCATTATGTGTCAAGCTTAATTAAATTATTTCTCCTAACAAAGTCAAACTCCACATTCTTCGAAGCCTTCATAAAAATAATTGCAATCCCGCACGTTATGCCGCGTATTCTGTGCACGCATCTTCATGCAGAAACCGAATCTTCAAAACACGATTCGAATTGATCCACCGTCCATTTACCCCTTAATTGTATGCATAAATAATTCCTTAAACCTTGGAAGGGACATATACGTAATAATGGACAGTATACGGTGGCAGTTTCGGCATTGGGCGTAAAAAGAGCGACGTCTATAAATTGGTTGAGAAGTCTCGTAGAAATCACACAGCGAGGCGACAGGAGAGAGAGCCAATCCGAGATTCGTCCTTCCCCCTCCTCTTCCACCCTCCCCTCCTCCCCTCCCCCCCCCCCGCGCCGCCTGCTCTCGGTGGTTCGATCTGTTAGATGTTGAGGTGATAGCGGTGTCGGATTCGGAGAGTTCTTGGTCGGGCAGGTGGGAACTCTTCTGCTGCAGCCGTAAAGGTTTGTGTATTAAGCTGATGATCGATTCCTCATGTGGTTGTTGCTTTGGGTTAAATCTGATGATTTCGCGGCGAAAGGATTGGATTTTTTCGTGGGGTGTTGGCTTAAAGATGTCGCCTTTTTGGTTTTCCTCTCTGTTTTGGTTGGATTTTGTTGCTGATTTAAGTTCAGTTATTGGATTCTAATTTTTCCCCTCAAAAGGTGTCTTTTTCTTTCTATTATCATAAATTTTTTTGATCGGGTTTTGTTTATATCTGTTTTCTTTTGATTGTTTCCCTGTAATATTAGATATGAGATCGTCTGATGAGACTTCTTGCAGAAGGTTTGTTTGGGTTATGTGGAAATCGGCATATATATTGTTGATCTAAGAGCTGGGAAATATACCAGAAATCACAATTGTGGTGATAAAGACGAGTAAAAAGGATCCCGAAATATTGTCCTTCGAGAACATAAGAACCAAAACAAAACTGGACCCGAAAGACAAAATCCCCTGTGAGTTGGTACAGACTACAATAACAGTATCGTGGAATGATTTCCTAGAAATCATGATCTTAATTCTCTGTTTCTCCTTCTCTCTCAATATTGTCAATATTGTCAATATTGGTACAGTATTATTAAGAGAGAATTTCTTGGTGTTCCTGTCTTTCCAGATGCTCCATTACAGAAGATTGATTGCATCTCTTAAAATTTCCAGGAAAAGGTTGGCCCTGCCTTTCCTCTAGTCTCACATCGATTTAGCTTCACCGTTCTAGATTGATTTATATTTCAGACAGTAGAGAAAAAGGGTGAGAGATCGGTTGCTTTTTGTTAAAGATGATGCATTTAGAGCGACTAGTCCGAAGCAAGCCGTCCCTTGTTAAAATTATGTCATTGATTTCTGACAAAATAAGTGCCTTCACCTTCAGAAAAATTGTTTTTTCTACAGGTGAGGAATGGATGTTTTCTACAATTTCACCGCTGAAAAGGGAAAATATGGTCAGCCTTTTAAGGACCTCTCTTGCATCAAATTTCATCTCCTACTCACCATTAATAGGAATATCATCATTGGCATTCTCATGGCTCCATCCATTTAATACATATACCAGAGGAACCCTTTCTATAGCTGATATTCTAAGCTGACATGTTTTCTTTCGCACATTCCTCCCTTAACTTCTTGCACCTTGAGTATCTAACATCTCATAAATACTACGCTTCTGCCCATATATCACTTTCTTCATTTTGTTGATTTTCTATCGAGAAGTTACAATTTATGAGTGAAGTATTATTATATGAGAATTCTCCATACTATCTTATAAAGAACTCGATCCTTAAGATCAAATTTCTGAGCATGTGGAATCATTGCTGATAATTCCGTTGCGATAGTTGCTTAGGGTAATGGGATAACAAGATGTTATTATTTTGATTTATCTCCTGCTGCTGATACTTGTTACTTTCTGTCAAGGAGCTTAAATCGCCAATGTCTTGAAGTTTTGTTTTAACTTCTACCCTTCTGATTTATAGCATCATATTACTTGTTGCTTTGTGATGCATGTCGGTATGATTTAATCTTGGTTGACCATCATATGAGAATAGACCTTTATGTAGGAACAATATAACTAGTTTTTGCTTGCTTTCTTGAACTTTTTTTTGTGAAAATTTCTTTTTGTTTTTGTTTGTAATGTTTTTTACCTTGCTAATCAAACTAATTGCTTTTATTGTGTATACTCGTATATATTCTTTTTAGTTAAGACAGATTCTTTTCCTTTCCAGTCAATCAAGAAAGACATAGCTGGGAATGCTGAAAGATGTGCCTGGGTAGTGAGGCCATATTTTTGGAGTTAAATGGACCTGTAGCTCCAGCTGAGAAAAAACAGCATTTCAGTATTAAGTATTTCTTTGGAGGTAAGCTCCCAGAGAGACAAACCCAGGGCAGACAGAGGGGATCTGCAAAAACAATTTCACAAGGTGACCTTGGTGGAGACGGTTGAAGTCTTTTGCTCCCCTTTCTAGACTCGTACCTTGTGAAAATCGAGAGAGCATAGCGTTAGTTTGTTTCGCAGGTTACATAGGCAAACATGGAGAGCAGAGGGATTGTTGTGATGCAAAAGTATGAATTAGGAAGGTTACTAGGGAAAGGAACTTTTGCAAAGGTTTATTATGCTAGGAATATCAGAAATGGCCAAAGTGTTGCTATAAAAATGATTGACAAGGAGAAAGTAATCAAGGTTGGTCTCATGGAGCAGGTGAAACGTGAAATATCCGTGATGAGATTGGTTAGACATCCAAATGTAGTGCGGCTCTTCGAGGTCATGGCGAGTAGGACCAAGATTTACTTTGTCATGGAGTACATAAAAGGTGGTGAGCTATTCAACAAGGTCACGAAAGGAAAAGTGCCAGAGGATGAAGCTAGAAAATACTTTCAACAGCTGATTGGCGCTGTCGACTACTGCCACAGCAGAGGTGTTTACCACCGTGATCTGAAACCTGAGAACCTTCTGTTGGATGAAAATGACAATTTAAAGGTATCAGATTTTGGTCTAAGTGCCCTCGTTGACTCCAAAAGGCAAGACACCATACTGCACACTACTTGTGGAACTCCAGCTTATGTTGCTCCTGAGGTGATAAGCCGAATTGGATATGATGGTGCAAAAGCTGATATCTGGTCCTGCGGGGTGATTCTTTTTGTGCTTATGGCTGGTTACTACCCTTTTCATGATTCAAATCTGATGGAGATGTACAAGAAGGTCGTAAAAGGTGAATTTAAATGCCCCAGTTGGTTCTCTTCCGGCACTAAAAAGTTCATCTCAAAGATGCTAGACCCAGATCCAAGTAACAGGATTTCCATTGCAAAAATCAGGGAAAACAAATGGTTCAAGAAAGGGCTTGATGACAAGAAAGTAAAAATCGAAGAAGAACCAAAAGAAAATGTCCCTTTGGATGCAGCTGAAGTTTTCAACTCCTCAGCAAGCAGCACTGCTGAGGAAAGGCAAGATTCAACGAAGATCACGAACTTGAATGCTTTTGATATCATTTCTCTTTCAGCAGGATTTGATCTCTCGGGTCTATTTGCGGACAGCAGCCAAAAGAAAGAAACTTGGTTCACTTCTATGAAGTCTGCATCAGTCATTATTTCCAAGCTAGAAGATATGGCCAAACATCTGAAGTTAAAAGTGAAGAAGAAAGATGATGGGGTTCTAAAATTGGAGGCTCTAGGAGAGGGGAAGAATGGTCTCCTAGCCATTGATGCTGAGATCTTTGAGGTCTCCCCGTTGTTCTATTTGGTGGAACTGAAAAAGTTAAATGGCGATAACCTGGAATATCAGAAGCTGTTGAACGAAGGCATCAGGCCAACTCTTGTTGACATTGTTTGGGCATGGCAGGGCGATCAGCAGTACCATCAGGAGTAGCAATCTTGAAACTCTAAGACAGGCTCGATAATTAGGTTGGAGATTCAGCAAGTTAAGTTTGCATCAATTGTTGTGTTGTTTTCTCTTTTGAGCTACTTTGTTAATTATCGTGGATCGATTGGTGCTTTTACAAACGTAAGACGGTAATGCAGTCTTTGTGAACTGCCAGTTTTTGGCTTACAAGTTTTGTAATTGAGTGATGCTTTCTACTATCTAGAAGAGATTAAATTTTATAGTTTATTTAATCCCATCGAAAAGGTTCGATAAGATTGATTGTGTTTGCAAAAACCAATTATATATTCATGTGTTCTGTTTGAGAAGAATCTTAAACTATAAATGCTGTGGGGAAGAAGTAGCTCATTGTTTTTTTTCTTCCCTGCAAATGATCTTTGAATGCAAAGCTGCAGAAAAAGGTTGAACTGCTGCTTTTGTTTTTGGTCATCTTGTTTCTTAATTGTTCTCAACACACAAGACTTCAGTTCAAGACAAGGTTGTCACTGTTCCATTGTCTTTCTTCCCATATCTAACAGGAGAGTAGAGGTCGAGTGCTGTCAAAGAATCTCCAAATTGAAACCTCTAACTTGGTTTTGTGGCCATTTAGGTCCCAAGAATTAAACTCCAACTTTGTTTTGGTACAACTCAATATATAGACCATTCACTTGTCATAAAACATAGAACAAAACCTTCTGATTGCAATAAGATTTATGCAATCCGGTTCAACTTCAGCTTTCATTAAAGGTGTCAAAACCTTCTAAACCTATATGAGGATATATGTGGGATATGAAGCAGAAAGAAGCAGGCCACCAAGATGCAGTTGACAACATCTATAAAATGCCAAATTATCTTGTGTATATTAGACTTATTCAAATCAAAGATTGTAGGATAAGAAAGATTAGTTATTATGGAATGAACATATAAAATGAAGATCTATAAATGCATCACTTAAACAAAGTGTATTAATTTGGTAAATTCCTTTTATCAGCTATAAAATAAGATTGATGCTTCTTACTAAGATTGGTGACACTGTCCTCGTTGGAGCTCACTGACAGGCAAAAGAAAAATCCACATATGTGAACCCACATTAGTTCAGATGCTTGTGGTGGTGTGTCTTGCCTGTGAAGTTTCAAAGAGAGAGGAAGCTGACATATTATAGATTCCAATTCAAATCACAGTTAGAAAGGATGCAATAGAGATCAGTGCAGAGGCTAATAATTTCAAATAATTCTCAATTTGGTATATAAAGTTGGGCATTGGATCAGGTATATCATGACAGTTTCTAGCAAATGACACCAAATAAGCAATTGTCTGTGTGATGACTGAAAAAAACTGCAAAATATTTATCAAAATGCTATACAGCATTCTTCATTAAATCTGTATCAGAAAAATTAAAATACAACAGGAACTTTTAGAAACTTTTCAAGCCACAGCATACTTGATTATGATTCTGTACATGCTCAAATAACTGTTGATACAATTCAGCACTGCTAGTTTATTAGTTCTTTTGCACTGGCAGACCTGCCATCCACCAATCCTTAGCTTAAAAGAAAAAGTACTGCATTGGATGATGTTCAGCTTGTGTTCAGATCCAGTAATATGATAATAGAAATTCTCAACCATAGGAGACATCCAGCAGACACTTGGAATATATGCTGTGAAGAGAAGTTTGTCGATGATTAGTATTCAACAATGAACATTGAACATTGTTTTTGCCTCGCATTACATAGATTCTGGTCACAGCTAAAGACTGATGGGGGAATCCGTCAGATCAATAATGTCCATATGGACTGAAGTCTTCTTATGCTTATTACTGCAGCAGCTAATTAAGCAGCTGGGTGGTGACAGGAGATCTATTACATTACTCTCGGGTGAAAAGGGCAGATTATCAAGGGAAGCCTTTTTATTGGAACTACTTGGAGTAGATTGTTGCCTGAAGCTCTCCAAATTATTTTGTTTAAGAAAATCAAATGGGTCTTCACTGCATAACAGTTGAGTTCTGTCCGGGGAAGTTCTGCTGCATTCTTGACCTGGTCCAGGGGATTCAATAAGACAGTAAGATTTTGTCGTCTCCATTGGCTTCCTAATACCACCAAAATCGCTAAAATCTTTTCCCAATAGATTCGCAACTCCCACTTTGTCAACGGACTCCTCTGTGGCTTTGGGGGAACCTATGGAACAAGGTGAATCCGTTAGCTCCATTGACTGTCTAAAATTGTCATGTTTCAAAGCACCAAGGCCATGCCTGGCTGTCCTTTGTACATGAGTGGCATCAACCTCCACATCATCAACCAATATGGCCAATGATGTCGAAAGTGAATCTTCATTATCTAAAGCCTTGCCCATAAGATTCACAACTCCCGCTCCATCATCAATGGACTCTTCTGAGGCCTTTGGTGAATCTATCATGCAAGGTGAATCTGTTAGCTCCATGGACTGTCTAAAGTCATCATGTTTCCAAGTACCAAAACGATGCCTGGTTGTCCTTTCCTCATGAATGACATCTGTCTCCACATGGTTAATCGATACAGCCGAAGATGTAGACAGTGAATCTTCCTCAAGATTGTCTTCTTCATCATTTTCTTCGTTGTCATCTAGTATTAGACCTTTGACATAGCAGGGAAGTTCATCCATGGTGCCAAAAATAGTTTTCATTTGCTTTGGCAATTTTGGGCAACCAGCAGTATGCTTCATGTATTTTGTTGAGAAGAAATTGACAGTGAGATTCGAGCTGATAACAATGAGGAAAGAAAATTTGTTTTATTGATTCGAATTGAAAAAAGTGGAATAATTAAGCTTGCTACAAATTGGCAAACTTACTTCTCCCAAGCTGGAAGTGACAACATGGTATAAGCGATCTTGATCTTATTTGCAATGCCAGAGAGCGACTTCAAACTTGAAGCAGCTTTTCTAACAGCTAGAGATTCTTTTGGGTGCTGCCAAGCCCATTCAAACTGCATTTATGTAGTTTACCAAGTATTAAAGCCATGTACCTGATATTAATAACTAAAATTTCTTTTATAAGATACCAAGGTGGCATAAATCAAGATAAAACTTACAAGCAACTAGCACAAGAGACAAACAAAACACATATGTTCCGACATGAAGCAATTATTGACGCAATCATATTTTATAAGGTGCTAAGTCAGATTTCAGGAAGTATAATACAGACAACTGACAGAAAATATGTGTTTCTCTTGAGAATAACGATAATCATCTCATTCATAGTCCACACTCCATAGCTTTATCTGACTAACCAAAAACTTACGATTCTAACCACTTAAAATTATAAGCAGATTCAGAGGAGAAGAGGCAAAAAAGTTACTGGTAGGAAACACCAGGAATGACCTGAGAAAACTAACAGGAAACCAATATTTTTATGCAAATCCATCTAGTACCCAATCAAGTTGCTCTCTTCTTGTATGTGGAACTATTTTGAACTATTTTATCCAGCTTCAACATTTTTCTTCCCACCATGATATTTATCCTAAAGAAACTTTTCACCTAGTGATGGTCTTCCAAATCCTCTTATATGCATTCCACAATATTCCTTCAGATCTAAGACGATATATCCAGCTTCAACATTTTTCCTCCCACCATGATGTTTATCCTAAAGAAACTTTTCACCTAGTGATGGTCTTCCAAATCCTCTTATATGCATTCCACAATATTCCTTCAGATCTAAGACGATATATTAACAACTTGAAACTTCATTCAGCCATAGTTGCATAGTCACTTGATCAAAATAACCAAACAAACTGTTGAGGGTAGTTTGGATCAGTATTTTCAAAAAGCGCTCATGCAAGGCAAGGCAAGTCCTAAGCACCTCACAACACCTCGGGGCCAGGCGTTTCAGTGAAGCGTCGCTCAAGTGCATGCTCGAGTCAAATTGGGTCGACTTCGAGCCAGGGTTCGACTAGGTGAGTTAATTGGTTCAATCAAACCAACTAATACTGTGAATTTCTTTATGGCAGGTAAATTCTCACCTAAAAAGAGGAGGTGGTTAGGGTGGTAAATGTTATACGACAGCTATAGTCTGAGATGAACCAAGTTAATTAGTCAACTTAGAACAACCAAGACCTAACTTAGAGCTTGAAGGATGGCGATGATAGACGTGAAGGGACGAACAAGTTCAGCTCCGACCATAAAATTAGATGCCCCATGGTGAGCAGATCTCATCGGAGTATTTACAATTTTAGGTGGCATCAACATAGTAGCCTTTCATTGTCTATCTGGTGTTAGTAGCCCTACAGACATAAAAAAATTAAACGATTGAAGATGCTAAGCTGAATACTATAACCAAGTATACAAAGCACTTTAAGAACCTGGAGAGCAGAAACATTTGAAGGGAAGCCATAGATGCAAAGAACCATCCCCCACGGGCGTCCATGTTTCGTCCTCCATGCTCCACACCTTATCTCACCGTTGTGCTGTCTGATTCTCCGTCGAGGATTGACTGTAAACCTGAATTTTGATTTAATCCAAACCAAAAAAATATCCATCATGACCCTGACACCCATCTACATCAACAAAATCAAGAATAATAGGTTTCTTTGAAGCAAAAAAGAACAGTGAATATACCGATAGATAACACGATCAAGAACAGTAATAGAAGAAGAAAGGATCGGGATACCCGATGTAGGTACGGCTTTTGTGACGAGGGCTCAGAGAAACAAGCAAGTAGCAAGCAAAGAAGCCCTTTTCTTCCTCCCGAGCCTCCTCCTCCTCCTCCTCCGATGTCGTCTTCTCGACCGCACTCGCCACGGATCGCGTCGCAAATCGCCCCTTTCCCGGTCCCATCACCCTTCCCTATCCTGTTGGGCGCTTCGCTCTGGTTAGGCTGACATTAATGGCCCCCTCCTCCTCCGATGTCGTCTTCTCGACCGCACTCGCCACGGATCGCGTCGCAAATCACCCCTTTCCCGGTCGCTTCGCTCTGGTTAGGCTGACATTAATGGCCTCCTCCTCCGATGTCGTCTTCTCGACCGCACTCGCCACGGATCGCGTCGCAAATCGCCCCTTTCCCGGTCCCAAATCGCCACGGATCGCCCCTTTCGCAAATCAGACCGAGTGCTGGTTTGGACAAAATCAGACCGTAGACGCGGTCATCCGTACGAAGAGATCTCCTCCCTTGGATCGAGTACGACCGTGTCTTCGATTCAACACGCAAAGGTTGCTCGTCTGAAGGAGAAGACGACTTTTTCTTTCTATAGGTGATTAGAATCGAGAAGAATTCCGACAGGACATGTGATCACAACGGCTCAAAAAGGTCAATGGGATTGGCTGGCGTAAATAAACATATTCGGACAATTTTCCAAAAAAAAAAATCCCTTATTGGGAAATTCCCCATCACCTTTTATTAAAAATCTCAACAAATATCTTTTTTTTATTTTTCTAAAAAATAATTTTATAAGTCTCAATCCATTATCCATTATTGATAATGCGAGGATAATAAAACAGAGACGATAGAGGATGAGATAGGAGCAATGAGATGAAGATAAAAAATTGAGGCAACGGGGAACAAGCTAATATCATATTTTTAGAAAATAAGAAACAATAAATTTTTTTTACAAAGAGGATACTTACCAAAAATTTCTCAAAATAAAAAAGAATTTCCACAAAATTACCCAACATATTGTTATAACACCAAGCTTCTTGTTTTCTTTCTTGATATAAAAGGCTTGATCAACAACAAATCATGATTCTCAAACAGTCAAGGTACTATCTTTAATGATTCCTAGGGAGGGCTAATGATCATTGACCATTTTATTACATTGATAATCATTTGGTTGTAGTCTGGCACCAAAGGCATTGAGCCACTCTCCGATCCTACAAAGAGGTAATAATAAGCATGCACCAACAATGATCTGACAAGAACAGCAGCAGTTTGGTTTGCATGGCAAGTTGCAATGACCTTTTGAGGCTTGGTATGGTTTGAAATGAAGTAATGACCTTTTGAGGCTTGGTATGGTTTGAAATGAAGTGTTAGACATCTTGATGAAAAATCTAAAAAATATATCTTAATTGGTTATTCCTTATGATCGAAAGCATATTAATTATATAATTCTGTTAGTGGCAAAGTTATTATTAACATAAATATTATGTTTGATAAAAGGGCAAGTTGGAATTGGGAGACCAATAAAAGTAAAACTCAAATGCATATTCCAACAGAACTAGACACTCTGCAGAATCAAGTGACAGATCCTGCTCTAACAAGTTCATCGTCAACTTCACCCAATAGCAGTTCAAATTATGATTCGTCAGATGAAACCCCTCTAAGAAATTTTAGATCACTAACAGAAATTTATAACTCAACATTTGCTTTGTTTATTTCAGATCAATAACTTTTGAGGAAGCAGTTGAAAAAAAGGAACGGAGAAACGCAATGAAGGAGGAAATCAAGTCAATTGAGAAGAATGAAACTTGGAAGTTAATGAATCTACCGAAAGAAAAGAAACCTATTGGGTTAAAATGGGTGTTCAAAACAAAGTTTAAATGTAAATTATTTGGTTTGATAGTGATTGTGTAGGAACTTTAGATGAAAGAAAGAGTACTTCATGCAATGTTTTTAGTCTCGGATCGAGAGCTATATCTTGGAGTTCTAAAAAGCGAGCAACAACTGCGTTATCGACATCGAAAACATAATATGTAGCCGCGACATTTGTCAAGCAATATGGCTTAGAAGATTTTTTGAAGATCTTCATCAAGAACAAAAAGAAGCAACGGAAATATTTTGTGACAATAAAGCCACAATTGCAATGACGAAGAATTCAACGTTTCATGAAAGAATGAAGCATATAGAGATACGCTATCATTTCATCCGAGATCTTATAGCAAGTGGAGCCATAACAATAAAGTATTGTGGAACAAATGAACAAGTTGCATATATCATCACCAAGTCGATTCCGGTTCAAAAGCATATTTATTTCATGTCGAAAATCAGTGTATGCAACTATGAATCAAGGGGGAGTGTTGAGATTTGATTCATAGTTATCTAGGTAGTTACAAAGTGATTTCAATAACTACCTCAATCATGATCTAGTAGTTATAGGATGATTTCAATAACTACCACAATCATGATCTAGTAGTTATAGGATGGTTACAACTAAGTCCTATAAATAAGACCATAGTTCATAAAGTAAGATATAGAGAGTATGTGCACTTAGTATCTTGTATATGTTATTGTCAATCCTCCTGTTTTAAATACTACATTAGTTTTATTCTTTTTACTCGTATCGTAGTATTCTGTTTTTTCCTTTGCTTCTCCGTCCCCAAGGGCCACCACCAATGTTCTTCTTTCATTTACGGTTTCAAAAGCCCAAGTCGGCATGGTTTCTGCTTCTTCTAGGGCTCTTGAAACATGTAAGATGTTTCTGAGAATTACAAACCAAAAACAAAATCAAACAGGACTGGAATTCCCTTCTGATGGATGATCTACTATAATCTAATCTTCCCAGGACAACAAAATGTAAGACCATCAGAACCAATCATTCCACACCTATTCAGATGTGTTCAATCTATCTGAAATAACAAAAGGTCAGGCATCTTTAGCCAAATACTCGAATCTCAACATATCAGAACACCAATTATGCAACCTTAGCTTTTTCTTTTTTCTTTACCCTAATCAACAAACTAGCAACACCTAATCTCTCAGGAGGAGTCTTTAGATATGAAAAAAGTCAAGAATCTATCATTCATTCAGGCTGTTAAGATACAAGAAACAAATTAGGCGTATAAACATGCACCAAAGCTTGTAGCTTTCCAAATTTCCTTATCAGATCAGTCTTGCAATGTTGCTTCTTTCTGCATGCAGGATCTCCATGCATGAAGTATCAACAATTATTAATCTTCCCCTTTTCTAACAAAGACAGGAAAACAAGATGGGCAATAAGAAGCTCCTTCGCATACATCAGCAATTCAGCATGTTTTCTCTTTGGTGGCAGAAGAAGGGGCCATCAGGATCCTCCACAAGTACCTCCCACTCGCCATGTCGACGCAGGTCCAGAACCCATCACCGATCGTTGATCGAACCTGATCTCATCCCAGAAAAAAACACCATTATCAGCACAGATCAGAGAACAGCTTGCAAGATTCAACTTTTCCTAGCTATTTCCGTTACCTTGGTGGAAAGGGAGACTTGCTCTTCAGAAGAGTCTTCTTCTTCCTGGCGCGCCTCGACGAGCTCCGGCTGGGCCTTGAGGTTTCTGAGCACAAAGAAACCAGCCAAAGTGGCCGACAGAAAGATCAACAGCACTCTCAGGGGACACATATCCCTCCCTCAATCTCCTCTTCCTCTTCGCTAGGGAACAACTAGAATTGAAAACCTGAATATGGAGAGGATTGAGGCTGGTTGAGGAACAAAACAAGAACTTGGAAGCCGCCTCCGACCAGAGTTACAAGATAAAATCTGAGAAGGTGGGTGGGTATAATAATAAATATATATAGTATTATGTTTGGTCCAAAGCCGCAATAATTTCTCCTCGAAGTGGGGCCCACTGTAGTGGTAGTAGTACAAGGGGAGTGGTTGGATTTGGTGGGGTTAGGAACGAGTCCTGGTTTGGACCAAATCAGACCGTAGACGCGGTCATCCGTTCGAAGAGATCTCCTCCCTTGGATCGAGTACGACCGTGTCTTCGATTCGACACGCAAAGGTTACTCGTCTGAAGGAGAAGATGACTTTTTCTTTCTATAGGTGATTAGAATCGAGAAGAATTCCGACAGGACATGTGCTCACAAGGGCTCAAAAAGGTCAATGGGATTGGCTGGCGTGCAACTAACAATGGCGTAAAGAAACATATTCGGACAATTTTCCAAAAAAAAAATCCCTTAAAAGACTTTCCACAAAATTTCTCAAAATAAAAGACTTTCCACAAAATTACCCAACATATTGTTATAACACCAAGCTTCTTGTTTTCTTTCTTGATATAAAAGGCTTGATCAACAACAAATCATGATTCTCAAACAGTCAAAGTACTATCTTTAATGATTCCTAGGGAGGGCTAATGATCATTGACCATTTTATTACATTGATAATCATTTTATCAATGATTCCTAGCCATCAGAATTCTTTGGTTGTAGTCTGGCACCAAAGGAATTGAGCCACTCTCCGATCCTACAAGAAGGTAATAATAAGCATGCACCAACAATGATCTGACAAGAACAGCAGCAGTTTGGTTTGCATGGCAAGTTGCAATGACCTGCCCAGGCTGGCCTGTAAATGAGAACAGGCTAAATGCCTGGAACACCAGCTAGGATCAGACAAAACATTATAATTAGAGTTCAATTCCAAGAGAAAATAAGAAACCCACTACTTCAGATATTTCTCTATTTAGAGTAGGATAATCCTTCAATTACCTGATCATCAGGATGTTAACTGTGAAAGCATATGGTTCATCAAATCAAGAAGGAAATGCTGGCGAGATCATTGAGGCGATAGATATCTTATGGCTTAACATAACGAGCCAACTTTGCAAGCACAGTCCTCAAGTTGCGGATGCCAGCACCTGACTTGGAGCTCACCATCATCTGCAATCATTGAAACATCATTAGTTGTCTACCTGTAGGCTGCATTTCTATATGATTCACACTTGCAAAAGTCCTATGTTATCCTCTAGTAGTTGGCAACAAGTATGATGCATGCTACCTGAGAACACCACAGACTGGCACTAAAATATTTTCAATTTAAAGATAAATCAGACAAGGGCATGAAATCTCACCACAGGGTTTATGACAGACTTGTTTGTCTTGAAATTCTGCAATATAGAAAGAGAGAACATTACAGCTTCCTTTATATTCATTTAACAAAATGTCAAAAAATTTTATAGACTTACCTCTTGAATTTGCATAGCGTGACGAGCAACATCTATTGGGAACACTACATCAGTCTTTGTTAATACTATCTGATAAGGTGTTTGGGATCTGAAAAAGTAAACTTCATTATTATATAATTAATCAAATCACCACAAATTGGTATAATGCCAGGAATGCAATTAATCCCAAGGAACCAAGTCAGAATGGGCTGATAGCACCAACACTTGAAGGTCCAGATTCAAATCTGTTTAGCCTCATATAATTCCCAAATCCTGGATGTATATATTCAAGTATAATTTAGATCAGTTTGCATAAATTTTAATTTCTGATCTTTGTTTTAAAAAAGTCCACCAGGTTAGGTTTTGCATTGCATTAAGTCCATTATACTAACCAGAAATAACAAAAAATTATACAAAAATCCCTAAAAACCCGACTAAACTTGGAAATAAGCTACGATAAACATATATCATGACTTGAAATTAATTGAAATCAAATCTAAAGAATCTATGACTCAATGACCCTAAAATAGACTTATAAGACCCTTGTCTAGATTCCTGGGCTGTGTCATATGGATACCAAATGATATTGCCACTGGATCAAATAACATGGACTGCACCATGTAGGTGAGCTATATCACAGATCCCATGTATCTAGAGTTTGTATCTCAATACTTCTATTGATCCATCAAAATGCTAATCTGGAAAAATAAATGATCTACAATAACCACGAATTAAGATGAGAAAATTTTATGCACTTATGTACAATTAAAAACGATGAATTAAGATGAGAAAACTCATCACACCTTTCCATTAAATCAATGAGCTCATGATCCCTTGGTTTCATACCCCATTTGGTGTCAATAAGGAGGCAGACTTGTTGCAGTCCAACTCTAGTTGAAACATACTCCTTCACCTGCAATGTTAAATAATTTTCCAGATCAATTCCACAGTATGTAAGCATTGAAATAACCAGAGATTTTATTCAGTATAAACACATCCAAAATAAGGACTGTTTGAATTGTTTTCATGGCCTGTTTCGACCACTGATGCTTGTAACATCCAACCTAACTAAGATTCTAAACTAACCTGGCAATTAATAAGATACATTAGAATATGTATATGCTCAAATCACACAATCCTTTCGTAAACAGGGTTGTACTAGTTTTACTCTGTACCTTGATTCCCAGGCCTACACCATCCATATAAACCACAATCAGAGACCGTATACACAGTCCAAATGGACTTGCCTGTACCATGTCCAGAGAGTCCATCCAAGCAACAGAACTCACAGACCGACAACAGCTATCGACCCAGTTTTGGTATAGTACGGTCACCACAACTATCAACCCAGTTTTGGTATACTACGGTCTCCACAAACCCAATCCAATCCCTTGTCCTTCACTACTAAGATTTTTTAGAGCAGGATTGCTGGACTCCTGTTCCTTTTTTGACAAAACACCTTGGAGACAGAATTCATCTCCAGAGCCTGCCGAAAGTGACCAGCTGTATAACTCATCAAAGTAGGACTAGAACACAATTCTTGAGGCTCTAGACATCATCTGGTTTCTAGCCCTCTGTAGTCAGCTAGACCTTTCCTTGAATGAGTCCCCAAGAGTTCACATGAGGAACAATCCTCTCTGTAAAATCTGCTATATGATTAAAAAGATAGAATCTCATATGTCTATTCCTAGGCCATCCTCACAAATTATTAACAGTGACTCGAAATAGTCAGGAAAGGCTATTTGGTTAAGGCTATCAGAATTCTATGTTTAATACATGGAACAACTACATGAAGTATATAGGAAATCACAATGAAAAAAATGATCTTTTAGATGCAACTAATTCACGATGGCCATGCATTTGGCTGTGCCGTTTGGAAAAACCATGCACATCAAAATATAAAATAAAAGATCTCACATAAAGGGAATTTGTGAAAACATAAATATAATGATCTGAAAAGTATAATTAATGCATCACAAATGCATCACAAATGCATCCTGATAAAACTAGAAACTAATTGATTATTTCCGATTGGTAAGAATTAAAAAGTATGTGTTCAAATGTATACTCACAAGTTCCTCCCATGCATCTTTCACTTCTTCTTTTGCATAAGCAAAGCCATATCCAGGCAAGTCAACCAAACAGAGCTTCGAGGCAAGCCTAAAAAAGTTAATAGTCTGTGGAAGGATAATAAATAATTAGCAATATTTTTCCATTAAAGATACATTAAATCCATTTGGACTAACTGTTAAAAACATTACCTGAGTAAGCCCCGGCTTATCTGATGTCCTTACGACTCCCCATTGTCTGGTAAGAGCATTTAGCAGCGATGATTTTCCAACATTTGATCTACCTAAACGACCAACCTTGCTTGTTAAGCAGCCGATACCAAACTTTTCAACCAAATATGAAGGAAAACAGTATAGAAAGACCTAGATGAGTAACTAAACAAGCTTTTATTCCCAGTTTTACGTTAGTTTATAAGATGACAAACAAGTAACAAAGCCACATCTTTGACATAAGATCCAACATGTAACGCAAACATTATTCTAAATTAGCTAAATAAACATACACATGTAATAGTTAAAGCACAAGAAATAAATTGAACATGCAAGAGATTGCAAGACTAAAGCATCATTGGACATAAGAACCAACTAAGCTTGCCTAAAAGATTAATTTCTAAATACCTGCAAATGCTATCTCTGGAATCATGGGGGGTGGAATGGACGTTGAAACTTTTGCAGCAGCAAAAAACTCCAACTTATTCCTAAATACCTGTTATAAGAAGGACACACACCATTAGGAGGTCTAAGTTAGTCGAGAACATATGACCTTTAATAGTGTTATTATTAGTGTTTATATTGAGCTCTGGAGCAACAAATAACAATAAATTAACTTTGGTGAAAACAGCAAGCTATTTATTCGTAACCAGTGTTATATTGAATAAAGAGAAATGAAATAATAATTGTGTCGAACAATCAAACTCATACATTTTCTTCAATCCGTTCTCTTTCTGTGCTTGTTGAGAACGGAACATTATCTAAAGGAGCAGAAAGCTTGACATTGTATCCAGCATTCTGCAATTCAATCAATCGCCTGCGACCCAATAGCTGATAGAAAGACAAAGCATTTAACTGGAGTACAGAACACAGCAACAAAAAACAAATATACAAGAAGATTATGTTTCTTAATTATTACATTATCTTCGACAAATGAAAGGATTGCTGGGCTCGGCTGTATCGCACGAAACTGAGCATTCTTTGACATTTCAGCCTTTTCCTCACTTACATTCTCTGTATGTCATACACAAAATGTGGTGAAAACAATAACAATGAACACTTAAGAATACAACTTTGTCTTGAGAGGCATTAATCTTGTCAGACAGATTTTCTATGATTTGGTGAAGTGGTCATACGACAACAGCCAGATTGGAACAATCAACAAGAATGACTCTACTAGAATGACTGCTATACTACTTATGGTGATTCTCATGGGAGAAAGGCAAGATGTAAAAAAAACCATTTTTGGAACCTATCATGGAGATATTGTTAAAAGTAAAATCAAGAGATACTGACCATTGTTAGAAACACTGTCATCTAATCGCTTGTTCGAAATGTCATATGGATCAATCTTGATAACTCGCTTTTTCTTTTTCAGCGGACGACCTAATTCTTCAGTACCATCAGCCAAAGCCTTCCGATTAATCCGAGTCTTCCTTCCATATTTGTCCAGCACTCTAGTTTGATACCTTCGATGTTTTTGTTCTGCAATTGGATCTGCTTTGTCTTTCTTCCCAGCATGTTTTTCTGACACTTCATCTCCAGAACCAACAACATGCCTATCAGCATACATAACTCTGGGGATCTCCTTCCCTTTCAATCTAAGATTATCAGCAGAAGTTTCCAGACTGTTAATTAGTTTTGATCTAAGCTTTACACGAGATGCATCATCACTGGCGCCTCCACCTTCAATATCACCTTTCTTACCACGACCTGTATTGTTCTTGACACTCCGACCACTGAGAACAGAAGCTCTATCATTACTTCCTTCGTCTGCATAAGAATCATCTTCATCAATAATTTCCCGCTTCACATGACTACCTCTTCTTCTAAACACTGCAGCTTCACTCAATTTCCTTTTCATAGCAATTGAAGAATTCTCCCTCACAGGAGTCTTCCTAGTCGCATCAGCATTCTTCCTTTTCCTGTCACGAGGCTCAGATCCAAAACTTCCCTTAACATCATCTGATTCAAACTTTCCTTCCCTATATAATTGCTGCTGTTTGCCTCCACTCAGAGATGGAGAGCTTACTTCCCTGATCTTTGTCCTTCTATAGGGTTTGCTATTGCATTTGATGCCATCAGCTTTTGTGTTTTCCCGGTTCATTTGATTCCTTCTCTTGCTGGAATTAGCAATACCAGCTTCCTTCCCACGTTCAGTTGAAACCTTCCGTTTTCTGTGGACACTTGTCTTCAAACGAACTCTGACAGGCATTGTCTAAGAGAAAAAGGAATTTAAAACTAATTCCTTTAAACTATAATTGAACCAACTGTTGGTTAATTTCATTATTAAAAAAATAGAAAGTAAGCCCTAATTCAAATAATGACTCTCAAAATGTTTAAGGTACCAATCCAAAATGGCATCTTTGTCCGCATAAATGAAATGTGGTGATGAAAAGATCGATTGCTAGGGAAGAAAGGAAAGCCGAAGAACTGATTGAATGATGGGAGTTGAACGAAACAAGGCAAAAAACACTATCAGGTTCCAAGAATCAAGTAGTATTCAAGAATTACAAAAGAGAGGCTTCACCTCGAGTAGAGCTCTCTCCTTCTTGTTTGAGGACTGGCTTGGCACCTTGGTTCACCAACGTTTTTATTTCTCGTCCATCTTGATGGGCTTCAGGAGTGCTTCAAGAAGCGGCCAAGAACAATTAATACATAGAATAATAATGGATTTTGTAATATGTTATAATCTATTATAACGATCAATATAACATTGAAAATACCAGCGGTTATCAAGATTCATCGTGATTCTCTTTTCGGGATCTAAATGATGATTTGATATGCCGTGATCTGAAATATAAATATCTTTCACTATCACCAAATTAATTTTGGTTGGTAATGATCGATTTCTAATTCTTAATATAGCAGTTTCTGAAGCTGTTTTTGTTGACATAAAAAGTCATTGAAGACTTGATGTAATTGGGAAATATTCATAGTACTTAAAGTGGGATCTTTTTAGACTTTTCATCTTTTCTTACCTATTTTCCATCTTAATGCACCACATACTCTACATTGTTCAATTTTCTCATTGTTCTTCCAATATAACATGCAATCATTTTTACAAGCATCTATTAATTCATAGTCATAACCTAAATCACAAATGATCTTATTTTTGCATCATAGTATGTTTTAGGTAGCATATTTCCTGCAGCAAAGGCATCACATAACAATTCTAATATCATGGTAAAACCTTTATCTGTCATATGACTCATGCACTTTATATGAAAATGTTTTAAAAGATATGAAAGTTTCAAAAATTGTGTGCAACTAGGATATAATGGTTCATTGCCATCCTTCAACCATCTAAAAATTTAGATGCATTTTCATTAGGCTTCTCAAAGTCAATATCATCAAAATGTTATACGCAACGACACTACCAACAATAAAGTGTTATTTGAAGATCAATACTTTCCTGAATAGAAAATCAGAATCAGGGATTCACAAGGCCAATTCTTTCTAACTACTTGTGAAAATTAAATTCTAATAGAAGTTCTCTAATTTAAACTACAACTAATAATGTTTCAAAATTATCCTGATTTTTGGAATGATCCCTATTTTGCACCATTTTGTTTTCCATCATTTATCCAGCAGTGGCTACGCATTTAAAATCAATTTCTTATAGTCATCTACTCAAGAAATTGTTTCTACAACAACAAGAAGAAAAAGTCATAGCCAATGTGATGAACTGATTTCAGCCTAAGGAATGTTTAATGTTTTGAACTGTAACAACAGATGTTGTCTTACCAATTAATACAATCCAAACACATATCTAATAATCACACAAATTCATGTTCACAAGCACTGGTAAATTAGCATTAAAAATTTCAGTATCACCTAAATGATATGTACAATCTACTGAGATACTATGTTCATGAGCACAAGTAAATTACCATAATAACATTGTACTCAGATATCATGCTATTATACATTAACATGATCTAAGTTATATCATAGATGATTCAATACATTCAGAATAATCAAAAGCAAAATGAAATTAGAAAAAAGTTTTTTATTTGTCTCATATGATATTGATATCACAACATTCCAAGAGGAGATTAGTATATATAGGGTTAGCATGTAACTAAAGTAAAAGTTCTCTGTAGTAAGCCACTGAACTCTTCTTTCTTTCTCACTGGGACACTAAACTCTTTTTTTTCTTTCTCACTGGATAATGCTTAATATTGAAACTTGATGAAACCTCATAGTTTTTTTTTTTGTTAAAAGAAATTGTCTTTTTGTAACTATATATTCTGGAAGGTGCTGTTATATAATTCTCACCTTTTCTATATATGAAAGGTAAAACAATGTGACATTTTATAGCAATAATTCAATCAAGGAACTGAACTAGTGTTTAATGGCTTGATGCAAAACAAACAAAAGCAATGAACAAGAAAAAAAAATGGGGGAATTATAAATTTAAAGATTTTCGATAGCAGTACATCACCTATATTTGCAAGAATCAACTACTCAACAGTCAATATCATAAAAAAAAAGAAGCTACAAGTCAAACTTAATGGAATGAATCAACTTAAGACTAATGATAGTTTTTAGAAAAATAGCAGGAAGGGATTTCACTTAACAGAATGCCGCTCTTCTTAAGGGAACCATCACTTGTGAATATAAGCAAATGCGTCAAAAAAATCTATTGATTAAACTGGTTGCTCACTAACTCCTCGCTGTACATGGTGTTACAATAACAAGAAATAGAGAGAACATTAAATTATAAGAATATTTATAAGAGCTCTAACTGATCCACAAAAATCATCCGACTACAAGTTTAGAGTAGGTTCATATTTATGCCTTAGCAAATTAAAGAATATCCTTCCTTATGCTTTAGTGAGACACATCATCTACAATGTGTCCATTCTTTAATCAAAACCAAAACATGAGATGGTTGATGTTTGACATGATCACGCATAGAAAGACTAATAGAGATGCAATTACAGTGAATGCGTCCTAACTCATGTTACAGAAACGAAAGGAACTACGATCGCTCGAAGAAAGAATAAATCTACAAGATTGGAGGACACGAGATCTGACCTTTGTCGAAGGTCAGAGACGAGGAGTGGCTGAGACACGAAGAAATGGCAAAGAAGATCGGCAGTGATGGGGCGGCGTAGCAACGGCGATGGAGCGACGGTTTGGCGGCAACGAGAGAGTGGTGGTAGTAGCGGTGGCAACCAAGCGCCGAAGCTGGAGCAGCGTTCTAGCGGAGCGGCGGCGACCCTGCGGGGGACGTTGGAGCCGAATGCTCGAGAATTCCGCTGAGGGTTTAGGGGTTTTTTGGTCTGTCTAATATTAACCAGAGGACGAAGCGATGTTAGGATCGACATCACAAATGATCCTACGGTCCAGATCGTGTATAACTTTAAATTCAATGTATATTTAACCTTATAAACTTAAATATTACATAATAAACATAAGTGATGAATTATCTTTGTGATAATAATAATAATAATAATATCTATCAATTAAAATATTATTTATCATGATTATAAATTATCATCATAAAACCTAAAATATTCATGATAATATTAGTGATAAAATCATGATTAATTTATAAATTTGAAGGATTCAGTGATGATGTTTTAATGATAAATCATTTGTTGCCATTAAAACTTTTAATAATAAATTTCACTGTTTATGGTTAATGAGGAGCTTTTTCTAGTGTTGTGTATATACACACACTAATATTATCACTAATATATGCACTAATACACACTATATATATACATACATACATATATATATATATATATATATATATATATGTATGTATATGTATATACATTTGTATGTATGTATGTTTATATGTATGGATCTGTATGTATGTATGTATATTTATATGTATGTAAATATAAATATATATAAATATATATATATATATATATATATATATATATGTGTGTGTGTGTGTGTGTGTGTGTGTGTGTGTGTGTGTGTGTGTGTTTCTCATTTTTTATTATATGCACTAATAATTTGATTTTTTTTTACTTTTTATTTGAAATCATTTTAGTTGCTTGGTGTTTCTAATTTTGGATTATCCAAGTAAAAATATGTGCACCAACCTTTGGGATGATTAATAGCTGATATGGTTGTCAAAGAGAATAAAAAAACAAAAAACATCTTAAACAAAAAAAGTATTTATTAAAAAACAACAATTAGAGTATTTTAAGAAGTTTCTTTCTTATGGAAAAGAAAAAAAAATCTAAATTGAGATAATTTGTTTATTAACAGAGTCCAAAAAAAAATCTTATGATCTAAGCTCATTATTATTTTTTAATTAATTTTTAAAATCATATATTATGTTCATATATAGATTCTAATATGATACTTATTAATTGTGCAATAATGTACTAACTCAAATGTCTGTCAGAATAGGGACATTCTAATCAAGCTCATCATTGTTGCTTCATGTTTAATCTGATTAACTTGTTTACAACTTTCATCTGTATAGGGTTAGTTTTGATGCTATTCTTCAATTATAATCTCTCTCTCTCTCTCTCTCTCTCTCTCTCTCTCTCTCTCTCTTTTGTGTTTATCTTAGCCATTTATAGTGAGTTCTTCAACTCAATGTAAAAGATGTGAATGTAAACTCACAAGCTCTATCTTACACTTAAATGTTCCAATCTCCAGAAACAATAGAGAGAAATGTCATTTGAAGGTTAGATCAAATCAGCCAATGATCCATTGGTATAAAAATTAACTGTGATGGCTTACATCTACAAGCTGCAGGTCATTTCCTTGTGATGTCTCTCCTCATGTCCCAAGGAGCTCTTTGTCTTGTGCAAGCTTCCTTTGTACATCAGCAGAAACATCATCAGACAGCAACCCCACAAGGAAAAGAAAAGAAGAAAAGAAATCTCCATTAACCATATTCTGATTGGCATCTTTCCTTCTTAGTATCTATCTGTGATATCAGCTCAGGCCCACTTTCCCTTAATGCCTTGCCTTTTAAGCACTCTTTCCTTCCTTCATATTCCATCTTTCTTCTTTCACCTATCCCTTTCTCTTTGTATCAAAGCCCTCGTCGTCCCACCTCAACTCCATAACCAGTGCAAAGGAGCATGCCTGAATGTCCACACCAAGGTTAGTACGCCAAATAAGAGGACAAGCTTTTCGTCTTCCAGATTACTGCTGATTCTGCTGTCAGTCAATGTGTTCTTTGTCTCGTGTTGCTATGGTAGCGTGTTCGCTCTCAATTGACGTTGCACCGTATCCTTAGGATCTTCAATTCTCTTTCTATATCACGTTTAGTTCCTAAGGAAATCGCTTTTCTTTTTCTTTCCTTTCCTGATGGTTTCTTGCTATCGTTCTTTCTGCGCCTCAGGGAGAGGATCGAAGAGGTTGGAAAGAAGATCAAGAGAGAGGCCGATGTCGTCACTGATCGAACTGGCAGGCGGCTGAGTCTGGTGGGAACAATAAACACCATCACCCCATGCGCAGCGTGCAAGCTCCTGCGCCGGCGGTGCGCTCAAGATTGCCCGTTCGCCCCTTATTTCTCACCACACGAGCCCCAAAGGTTTGCCTCGGTGCATAAAGTCTTCGGTGCAAGCAACATCTCCAAGATGCTACTGGTTTATGACTCGGACCTAAAGAACTTCCATTCATGCGGATGCGCGTTCACGGTATTGATGAGAGCTTGTGTGTTGTGGTTCATTAGGAGGTTCCTGAGTCCCAGAGAGCTGATGCAGCAAACAGCCTTGTCTACGAAGCGAATCTGAGGCTGAGAGATCCTATCTATGGATGCATGGGGGCGATCTCCGCGTTACAGCAGCAAGTGCAGGCCTTGGAGTTGGAGCTCCAAGCAGTAAGAGCTGAGATCTTGAAGCATAAGTTTAGGCAAGCTAGCGCTGGTGTCATCCGAACATCTCATGCTGCTTTTCTTGCTCCCTCTGAGGGGGTGTCCATGGCTGCACCACCGCCGCGATCAGTGACATCGCCGCCTCCGGCCCTCGGTTCCTCTTCCTCTTTCATATACACCTCTCTCGATTCAAGCGCCATTACGATGAACCACAATACCTTATACTTCGGTTGAAACAATGGAGAGTGGTAACGATGGATTCTTAGGTGATCTATCTTGAATTATTCCTCATGTCCTGTATTATCATAAGTAATTCTTATCTTATTAGTTACATATTGGTGGAGTTATATTCTGAACACAAAATCTTGGACAATTGCCTCTGCTTCGAGCAGGCATTCTTCCATCGCTCTCTTAGATTGCTTTCACGAACTCCTATGCGTTGAATGCAGCAGTGCCTTTCTGCTAAGATCAGTCACTGAATCCAAAAAGCTTTAAGGACAAGAAACAATTGCTTGCCCCTTCCCTCAATGGGATTAGAGATGATAGTCAAGAGAGCATGTGGAGTCCTTGCACGTGTATGTGGATCTTCCTCACTGAACAAGTGAGTCAGCCCCTCCTCACATGTTTGTCTGTACCTTTAATCTTCTCTCTCAAATCACAGAGGAGACAGATAGTATGCTTGATTCATCCTCCCTATGTGATCTAGAGTACCAACTTCAGAGAACTTGGTCATGTGGCTATAATTGCTTTTCATGTTCTTGGGATTTCCCAGAACTCACAAACAGTGTTCTCGTTTATCTTAAACGTTAAATGGAAACTGTTTCATCTCCAAGTTATGGTTTTAATCGAGTCGGAATCCTTTGGCTGCAGCTACCAACTATGATCCTCGACCATTCAAGTAGGTGCTTGACTCTCTTATCACTGAGACAAGTGCGAGTATCTGATACTTTTGATTGATGCCCACAACAACAGTAATTGTCCTTAGTCTGGACTCCAGATTGCAGGCGCGGTAGCTCTTTCATGTAAAGGCTCAACCTGTGTGGGGGGCGAATACTCCTCTGCTTGGTCGATGATTTGCCAGCTAATTGTATTACTAAAACCAGGCGCCGGGGGGGAGTGTTTCCTTGGCGTGCAGACTTCTGAGTGGTGGTGGGGAAGGTGGCAACACTTGAAGCACATTTAAAGTATAAATTGGGAACTGCGTGACTTCACAATCTCCTGTCCTTTCTTTATGTTCTTCTAGCAGTCATAAGCTTAATTTATTTTGAATAGAGGGGTTCTTCTGATGTGATGGGATTTGGTCCGCCATCATGTTTGCTTGAATCTGTCGCATGCACCCAAAATTCTCATATAAATATATATATATATATATATATATTTATTTATATGTTCTTACTTGACTTCAAGAATATCTTTATATGTTCCTCTCAGTGAGATAATATTTCAAGAACCGAAATCATTTCTTCGTTCAGATGAGAGCAGATTCACAACTTGGAATGCTTCGAACAAGCTCACAAACTTGCACATCAAATCTGAGGACTGGAAACAAACCATTGACCCTTATTATACTATATGGCGCTTTCACCTTTAGTTAATCTTCCTGCAGTTCTTCCTAATCTCACCGCTGGAGCCCGTGAGGGGGCTGATGTCTCCCATCTTGATCATGGCAGCTGCGAAGTCGGAGTAGAAGCTGCCGGAGCTGTTGCTGTAGGCCTTCACCTGTGAGTCGGTCGAACCGCCGTTGTAAAGCTCTTGATCCGAGTGCAGGAGACCCTTCGTGCTGATGAGATTCTTGTAGTAGTTGTTGTCGAAGGTGGTCGGAGTCTGCAGGTCTAATGGTGCCAAGTTATTGTCCCCGGAACCAGCTGTGCTCGGGCAATTCGACTGCCTCGTGTTAGCGAAGCCGCTGTCGATGTTGGTGTCGGTGTATATGTGCGCCCTGAAGGAGATGCATCTTGCTTGGCCAATGGTGTGTGCACCTGCATGCAGGGGAAGCAGGTTTATGTCAGCAGCATGCAGTTTAGTCTTCTAGTAAGGAAAGATTCATACAGGGAGGATGTCGTAGACTGAGTCAAGGTGATTGCTTGGTTTCCAAGCAGAAACAGAGCTAAAAGAAATCTGATAGTGAAGTGATCTGAATTCTAGATAGCTGCCAAAATTGATTTACCAGCATTGGACTTTGTGCTTCTAGAGCATGCAGTCAACGTGATTCGTATTAAGCTTGATAAGAACCGGCTACTAACTATGAGTGCTTGTAGGTTGCGTACCAGAGAGAGCCACCAAGTCCTTGGTCGAGAGACCCTGATCCGAGAACTTGGAGATGAGGTTGCTGAGTGAGGAACTTGGTGGGGGAATGTTATTGTTAGCTGCAGACAAGCTTGCCGTCGTCGAGTCCCTTCTTCCCAGCTTCACGTTCCAACTCCGGCCTCCAAGCTGCAGAACAAGCGCTGCGATCAGTGACCAGATTATAGCTCCGATAAGTTGGACCGTAAAGGAAGGAGATCGGATACTCACTGTAGCAACCGAGTCTCTCGCAGCGATGGCCAAGATGTCGGCACACGACACCACGCCGGGGCACACCTTCTCCACCGCAGTCTTTATGTCGTCTACAACGTCGAACCCTCTCACCGAGTTCTGGTTAGGGTTAGCAGTCTTCTCCCCGGTGAAGCCGGAGGTGTCATCCAGTAGTATCGAACCATCACACCCCTACAAAAACGAGTTCACGTTCACGTAACATATCAGACGCGAAGTTCCACGACAGAAGGCGTGACACACGCAGGATCATGGGAAGAGGAGCTACGTTGACGAAGCAGTCGTGGAAGAAGAGGCGAAGGAGGGACGCGCCCATCCGCTTCTCCTTCGAGATGGCCGACTGGACGACGCCGCTCACTGTGCTGAAGAGATCGGGGCAGGACGACGAGTAATAACTCGTCGAGAGTTGGGCAGAGGAGCTCCCGAGGAGGAGGAGGACGACAAGTGAAAGAATAGCCATGGTTATGGAGGAAGAAGAAGCCATTGGATTGAGGTAAGCATGCCAAAGGCCATGACCATATATATATAGTGGTGGAGGACTGGATTATACGATCTATGGTGAAAGCTTTATCCAGCAGCTGCTCACCTGCTACGATGGATTCATCTGCATGGGTTGAAAGAGTCGGTGGCGTGGGCATTAATTAGACATGCACATAGGAAAAGTATACATGAGGATCACAGCAAAATATGCTCACTGCATTGGCCTTTGAAAGATTCACCTACCATGGTGGGTAAGTAGTAACACAGTGGCTTCGTCAAAAGAGAACCAAAAAAAGGTCTGCTCATCTGTTCTTCTTCATAAAGAATCTTGCCTCACTGATCGATTACCTCCCTTCCCAAATAATATATTTATAGTTACTAGACTTTGAATTAGAGTAATGAATGATAAACAAAGTTCAATTTGATATGAGTCTTAAGCTTATAGATTCTCCACCACTAAAAGAAGTGTCAAGCCTTTGATACAAGCAAGCCTTACTGTGTCCTTATCTGCAACTTCATGTTAATTAACTTCTAAAGCAAGCTGTACCCAATCATGAACTTTGAGTCAAATGAATTGACTGCACAAGCGATGACAACGACTCGACATTTATCTCTCATCCTTCAAAAGCTGATTGAGAAAGATGAAGTTTCAATTAGGATGCTGTTGATCATTCCAAGTACCAAACAAATATTAGGAACCACAATTTCTTAGCAGGAATGTTGGAGAGCTAATAATCTCATACTGTACTAACAATATAATATGAAACTCTCTGGAAATTACAAATTACAGGGACCTTGTACCTAATCTCTGAGACTTCTTTTCCACAATAGAACAAAAGATTTGAGACCTTGAGGTACTGGGACAACATCAGATGTCCAAGGTGAAGACAGCTGGATTGATTACATGATATTTCCCCAGGGTCCCAGAAAATGTTTGACTGAACTTGTTGGAGATTAAGGACTCATTCACAGTAGTATTTGGCACATTCAGAATGGTATATTTGTGTCTGATTAACAATGTATTGCACTTTTTTCCTTGATATGTTTGGGTCAAAACCTAATATACTTTAAGGAGCTTTTTGATAGGCAAAGATCAATGTAATTATTCAACCATTTGCATTTCAGTAGAGATGACTGCAGGGGGATCTTTGACTGGAAACATCGTTCACACTGCAACAAAGGTTGTCAGAGGAATTCACCACAGCATGTATGCTTGGAACAAGTAGTCATCCATTTGAATGGTACACTGGAATTAGGCAAAGCATTATGATTACATGGGGTAGCAGGTAAGAGAAGAGAAGTCCACTAGCACTATAGCTAGATTACATGATTCTGGAACTGTTCTAAACAAACAAGTGGATGATGACTACTTCCAAATGCATGTCATTATCTTAGAGGGAAAGAAATGGCAAGTACACACTCACCAAACAATGTTTAAGCTTCATCACAGGAAGTTTCACTGCCTGAGATCTGAATCTGTTTGCTAAAAGAAGAGCTTACTGAAGAAAAAAAATAATCTCTTGCTTAGGGAGTCAACATGAAGGAATGACAGCAAGATGTTGCTATTGGTTGTTGGCTCATCAATTATTATGAGATGGGTTTTGGCACCACTCAGATAAAAAGTAAATGACTTTTCCTCGAGACATCCTTCTCCATAGCCTTCACTTACATCTCTTGCTGTGTGACACAATCCTTCCTTCCTTGCTTAGAGGAAAAGTAAACAACTTTTCCTCGAGACTTCCTTTTCCACAGTCTTTTCATGTCACAATCCTTGTTTGGTTTGGGCTGCCATGCTTGACAAGGTTTCAATAATAGCTTCCACATTTTTGTTCTCATTGAGAAGAATTAATGTGTCCACTGCTTAACTAACCTTATTAAATGAAGTTTTCAGTTGACCAATGTTCAATTTCATGCACCCAAGTTATATATATATATATATATTTATATTGCCCCTTTACATGGCATGGACTGAATCGATTTTGATGAATGTAAATTGTTTTGGATTTAGCTTTCTGTATCTGTTTTTATTAGGAGACTCTTTGAATCGGTAATGATTTTGAGATATAATATATAAAAACAAATATACAAATTTAATGCAAAAGCATTTAATAAATTCCTTTCTCGTCAAGTTTAAAAAATTATTATAAATTATTTTTTAAAATAATCATTTTACCCCTAACACCCCTGGATCTATCTTCACCTATGTCAAACCCATTCGATGACTCTCGCTAGACCCAATGATAGAGGTATAACATTCGTAACCCCTTCACCTTGTGCCCAGCAACGATGAGTACGAGCTATTCTTTCCTTCGATCAATGACGATGATTGCTAGTGCCCTTGCTCGTTTAAGAGCGATGAGGATAGATTTGATAAGACAAACACGACATAGAGGTAGTGGTGACAATGAAAGATCACGATATAGAGGTAAAATGATCTTTTTATATGGTCAAAATTTTTCGATGAAAAATTCTTAAATAGACTTTTAGAATTCGAATTGAGATCACATCGGATGAGGGGTTTGCCTCGACCGCGTCGCACTCGTTGACCCGGTTTCGTCTCACCTCGACGTTTACTGGAAAAAGATGTGGGGTCATCTGTGGGTCCGAGGACTACCGTCGGTCACCACAGAATGCCTGTCTTGGCCCGTTCAGGGCCTGCTTCACCCCGTTAACCTGCTTTGCGTCCGTGGGGGCCACGCGTGATGAAACACGTAGTGTAGTGGTTATGGGGCCCACCTGCGAAGAAACAGGTACGGAGCTCAGATGGGTAACGAAAAAAATATTATTATTTTCCTCAGTCTCGCCGCGACTTCCTTCCCTGTTTGGTCCCCTCCGCCTCCATCGCCGGCGTCGATCACCGGGCAGGATAAAGCGCCGCTGCTCCCCGTCGGTGACGCCTTTTTACGTCTATCTTCCCCGTATCTCCGCCGGTTTCGTACCGCAAGATTCGTTTTCTTGGTGAAGAAACGCTTCTTTTCGACTTGGTTTTTGTTCGATTTGGTGGACTCTTCCACTGCTCGAACAATGGAGGGGTGAATGCGGAGGTGGGAAGCTTGAAATCGTAGCTTCTCCGAATCGTCCAGGAACACCAAGGGAGATCCACTTGGATCAGAGATCAAACAGGTACATCGCTGGTCTTCTCCAACTTCCTTCACTGCATTCACTAATTTCCGCACGTTTTGATGAATCCCTTGTTAGGTTTCGTTTGATTGGTTGTTGGTCACTGCTTTGTGTATCTCAGATTGTAAGCTGAAAGAAGAGGAGTTATCAATGAATTGTCCTTTTATTGTTATGTCCAGTGAATAATGACGCCTGAAAACGAATCAAACGAAGATAATCAAGAAAATTAATAGTGATTTTATGTTGGATTGAAGTGCTTAAACATGTATTTGTTCTGCAAGTTGAACACCGCAAGATCTTGTTTTTATTCAAGTTAAGAATTCAGATGCTCATGATGATTCTAATCTTATGCCAAATAATATTTCTTTCCTTGGTAATGTGATCAAAGGTTTTAATAGCATGTTGAATTAAGGATAACATGGATGCAAGTCATTATGAGAAAGGATTTTGAGAAGCAATTAGGAATAATATTGTATCCCATTATTAGAATGGTTGGTGATTAGGTTCATAAGAAAAACATTAATATAGTTGGTGTAAGAGTAAGACAATGATATTATGATTATGAATTCTCTCATGTGATTTCCATTGGAAAACATCTCCAGTGTGTACCCTCTTGATGGCATACAGTCTCTTCTTTTGATTGATACACGAGGATTTGTCCTTTATCTTGGCACTTAATTGGGTCCATTGACTTGGTTCAGTGTTTGTCGTTGAAAAAAAATGACTTCTATTGCCATGAAGTATGAAGAAAGCTGTCTAAAACTTTGATCATCTCTATCATCTGAAACATGAAAACCCAGAAAGGTTTGCTAAGTGCTGCCTGCCACTTAGTTGAATTTTGTGCATTTATCAGAATTCAATGATTACAAGAGGTTACCAAATTTAATGGTCCATAGAAGTGATACTATTTTTTTTCTTCCTTATAATTTTAGAGTGAGTAAAACCTGATTTTTAATGCAACATGTAACATGATGCAATATATACATCTGGCTTGATCTTATGTGCCTTTCTCATAGATATAGATTATCTAAGAACTGTCATTCGAGTTTCTGAACTCCTGGTTGACGCTGTTAATAGAGGAGTTAAAGAATCATTTATAAATGAGAAGTAAATTGACCTTGTAATTCATATCATGCATTGTAGGAAGCAAACCGACCAGCGGCTTGCTGCTTCTCATGCATTGAACACTGTTGCAATGGTTTGTTCCATTAGCAGTGCTCTGTAAAAGAAGCTATTATGTTACAGTTTACATTGACAATGGTGGTTTTCTGAATCTTTATCTTTTCTGATCATTATTAAAACTTCTTTGACTAAGCCTATTCAGAAATGTCCTTTAAAGGTTTTCTATTTGGCGAATTCAGATAGTTAAGCATATCTGACATGATCTTATGTGTCTTTGTCATAGATAAATCGAAGAAGGATGCTCTAAGAACTGCCATTCTAGTTTCCGAACTCCTGGTTGACAGAGTTAAAGAGTCTGTTATAAATGAGAAATAAACTGAACTTGTAATTCATGATTTAATTAGTTCTATCATGCATTATAAGAAGCTAACCGATCAGTGCGTCATTGCTTCCCATGCATGCATTGAACACTGTTGCAACGGTTTGTTCTGTTAGCAGTGTGTTAGCAGTGCTCTGCAAAATAAGCTATCATGTTACAATTTACATTGACAATGGTGGTTTTCGAAATCTTTATATCTTTTGTGGTCATTATTAAAACTATCTTTGACTAAGCTTGTTCAGAGATATCCTTTAAAGGTTTTCTATTTAGTGAATTCAGATAATTAAGTTTATCTGACTTGATCTTATGTGCCTTTGTCATAGATAAATTAAAGAAGGATGTTCTAAGAACTGCCATTCGGGTTTCTAAAGCTCACCATCTTGCTTTAATATTTAAGTTCAGATTTGTCTTTCTACTAGTAGGACATTAGAATTTTATTTGTCTTCCTGGAAAAAGAAAAAGCAAAATCTGTCTGTCTTTCTGATTATATTCATTAACTCTGTCACAATACATTTCTTATGTGTGCACTTTTTTGTCACAATAGACTTCGACTGTAAAAGCATAAACTCTGATCTCACTCATAAGACCTACAGAGGCTACAATCTGTGCCAAGCTGATGTTCCAGAGTTCCAATGGTGTGTATTCTGGTACGAATGATCTTGATATTCTGTTTCTTTTAGTTCGGCGAAATATCGATAGACAACTAGTTTGAGACCTCGCTTGTTGTTTCAAATGATAATTATAACGAGTGAAATTTATTTGTAGAGAATACTTTGTTTTTCTTCTCGTCGTGTTTGTGCTTCATGACTTCATCTCTTGGATGCATCTTTGATTCCATTTCGGGCGAACATTCTATAACCCATGTTGCAATAATGCAATATTTCGTATTCTAACAAATCAAATGAAGTTGTTGGTTGACTACTTTCCAGAGTACATATGCTGGTTGGATTCCTTCGCACTAACCAGAACACCTTCTGGTTTTTTTCATAATAGTTTGGCCGCGTTGACTTTTATGAACATAAATCAGAATCTCGTGTTGGATATGTTTTCTATTGCTGTTTTACTCCATGCTTATCTTATTTTCGATTCTTTTAGTCAATTGTCTTTTTGTTTTTTCCTGACAATACAAAGAATTAATATGTTCGTGTTTATCTGAGAGCAGAATTAATGCAGACTTGGACGCTGAGTATTTTATGACAGAAGTCAACGCAGCTTCAACCCTCCCGATTCATCCCGACCCATTTTGAATTAGATTCGGTTCAAAGAGTAACACATTACTCCTTTGACTGTTGATGAGATACGATGGCAAAGAGCCAGAGAAAATTTACTTGGAGTTTCATCTAATATCATTTCGTAGGTTGAAGATATTTGTTTGTTGCATGGTTTTTGAGGACTAACATGAGACACAATAGAGGAACAAAAACGTATTGACTTGTACGTGTTGTTGCAGTGTCCTCAGTTGATCTTCCTGCAGTTGAGCCTAATCTCGCCGTCGGTGCCGGTGAGAGGACTAATGTTCCCCATGTTCACCATGGCGGTAGCGAAGTCGCTGAAGAAGGCGTCCGTGTCTTCGGAATAGGTGGTGACCAGGGAATCGGTGGATCCTCCATTGTAGAGCTGCTGGTCCGAGTGCAGCAGGCCCTTCTTGCTCACCAGATTCTGGAAGTAGGAGTTGTCGAAGACTGTGGGGGTCACGGCATCGAGAGGCGACAGGTTGTTGTAGCCGCCGGAGCTCGGGCAGTTGGCCTGCGTGGAGTTGGCGAACGAGGCGTTGATATTGGCCTCGTTGTAGATCCTGTTGCGGTATGAACTGCACTTTGCGCTCCCTATTGTATGCGCCCCTGTTGGAGAACAACGTTAAGGTGGAAGAAGAGACATGTTACGAGCATCGGACGCTCCGTTTACCTGAGAGTGCAACCATGTCGGTGGAACTGAGGCCTTTACTGGAGAAAGATGACAGTAGACCACTGAGGCTTAATGTCGGCGGCGGAAGATTACTGTTAGCCGCGCTGCGGCTCGCTGTCGTCGCGTCTCTTCTTCCTAATTGAACTGTATACGAAGGTCCACCGAGCTGCAAAAGTTGCAATCCAGATTTGATTGGGTTCACGAGAAAGAACACTAAAAAAAAGGGCAATTGCATGCATGGCGTTAGAAGATGGTGGATTCTTACGGCGACGACGGAGTCTCGAGCTGCCACCGCAAGGATGTCAGCACAGGAGACGACTTGCTCGCAGATGGCCTCGACCTGGGATTTGATGCTGTCGACCACGTCGAAACCTCTTATGGAGTTTAGGTTGGGGAATGCATTCTTCTCTCCCGTGAAGTTGGCCGTGTCATCCAACAGGACCGATCCATCGCAACCCTGCGTGTCGTCGTCATCGACATCATTAGCTTCTTCGCATATTAACTCCCACTCGTGCCTCGCTTTAAACAACAAGCAATCAGATGCATGCAGATGGGCAGAATAGATAACTCGTTACGTGAATCATAAAGATACGAGCACGGGTTTAAGCGGGACTTGCATTAACGAAGCAGTCGTGGAAATGCAGGCGGAGCAACGAGGCTCCCATGCGACTCTCATTGGCAACAGCGGTGGCCACGACAGATTGAATGGTGCTCAGAGCATCAGGGCACGAGGTGTTGTAGAAAGTAGGGGACAGCTGAGCAGAAGCCATGGCGATGAAGAAGAGGAATAGCAGGGCACAAGGAGAGGGACGGAGGGAGGCCATCGTTATGTATGGGGGAAGGAAGAGCTCAAACTTGGGAGTGTGGCAAGATGGTGCACAAGCCCGGCTATTTATGGGCGAATCGGAAGCAAGCAAACCTAAACCTTTGGATCTTCTTGCTCTCTTGAGGTCAACACCTCTTCAACTAACAGTCTGCTCCCTTCCTAAAATCTCAAACGCAAGCAATAAAGGCCAATCAAGAGAAGAAAAAAAAAAAAGAAAACCTCGAGAATCATATGCAACGAGTTTTTCTTTTTATTTTCTGAATTCACTACATACTTATCATGTGGCTTTTGCACACAGGGATTGTCGTGCTGCCATCATACACACGAGGGGATGTTTTGGACTGCATGCATGCACTTTGTAAATAGACCTAACCTTCCTTCCCAACCCGCATACTCCGATGCTTCAAGGGTATTGTAGTCCTCAGGATGTCTGCTTCCAATCAAGTTTCAATTAACATCAGAGTTAGTTACATATTGACTCATAATAAATAATTAATAAAACAATATATATAATTTAAGTTTAAAAAATGATTAAGATTCATTTTAACTTATGTAGTTTTGGTAATGAATCAGTTCATCCATGTTTAAAAGAATCCATATATTTTTAAAAACATAAAATATAAGTTCTTTCGGTCAGTTAACAAACATTAGAATCTGCTTATATTGCGTGGAGGTGTCGTCGTGAAAATGACCACCAACAACAACACCGAACTACTGCTACTGCCTAATAGGACATCGTATGCTTGTAATCTCTGACGAGCTCATAAGCTTATGGTCCTACCTTATGTGGATATGCATCGACCAGTTCGACCCTAAGCATGTAATGGTCTCTTGATCCATCTTTCTCCTCCTGGACATTTTTGTCTCCATCGCCTTTCACTTCGTCCTCTCCTACGTCTTCATCCGTCGTGCCTACGATATGATGATCTAGCTCTCCCTCATCTTTGGCTCCGACCTCTCCTACCTCTGTCTCTCCGCCTTCGTCCATCGCTACCGCTCTCATCGCTTTTTCTTCATCGACAAGATAAATTTTTTAAACTTAAATTATATGTATCATTATATTAATAGTTTATTATAAATCAGCATGTCACGTAAATATACTTTAACGTCTATTAACTTAGACTTAACGGGAGGAGCTTATATATTATATTTTTAAAAATATATAAGTTGTTTTAAACATGAATAAACCATAAAGACTTAAGTAATCTATGATCAAAACCACATGGGCTAAAATAAACCTTAACCCTTTTTTTAACTTAAATAATATATTATTATATTAATTAATTATTTATTATGAGTTAACATGATATATCAAACATAACGAAAGAAACTTATATGATACGTTTTTAAAAATATAAAAATTATTTTAGACGTAAATAAATTATAAAAAAATAAGTGATCCATAAATAAAATTATAAGGGTTAAAATAAATTTTAATCTTAAAAAAATATTATGTATATGTATGAATAGTTTTTTTTTTTAATCAATGACGTGGAGATGAGATTCAAATACCATAAAATTTTTCCGATAAAACTAGCTGATACCGCCATGTCCATTTAATCAGCAACACGTTTGGTCAACTAGATCAGGCGCTCCTTGCACCAACACATGGTGTCCAAAGCTTGGAACCTTGTCAAGCTTGTCTCAGCCGCAGCTTTCAGTTCGGTATGCTGATAAATATGTAATAATTCTTGGAGGACAATCAATTGCATTAACTAAAAACAAACACAACCTGCAGTGGTGGCTGGAATGCTATTGGCATTTGCACGAGAAAATTCACAGCCGAAAGAACGCTCTCTGTCGGCACGTCGCCCAACTTTCGCCAGCTTTGACATGTGACGAGAGGCGAAACAACGCAGGAATTCGAGCTTAGTGGACTCGGAAAACTGCACAAGAACATGTCACAGCTCCAGTGACCAATACAGGCATCCGTCTATGCAAGTCAGGAGAACGACCCGATCTCATCTAATCGAAGTATATGAAAGTGAGAACTTGCGTACCAGCTTGCTTCGCCTTGATGAGTTCCGCCATCAACGCCGATTTCTTAGAAATGGTCTGAAGCACCTGCAAATCATGTAAGCATTCCTTTCAGCAACCGAAAAAAAATCAACTCCATATACTTCCTGCTGTTTGACTTCGTATGGCAGCACCAACTCAGAGACCTGAGAATGGCATGACTCCCATATACTTCCCTTTCAGCAACGCAAAAGTACAAACTGCATGCATTGGATATCACATTCTTGCCAAATAATGGAATTTTCTTAGAAGCTGGAAATAATAACCAAAGCTGTAAAGACCTCTATCGAGTTGGTCAGTAGTTCTTTTGACAGAAGACTTATGAATTTATATCACACAGAGGTCACAACATATTGGTTAATCTATAAAACTCAGTTTAGAATCTACAATCAGTTGTCCTCAACACCACCGAGGACACAACTGGTTTTGCCATCAAGAACCCTTGGTTACCTTTATATACTGAATTAGCTGTACATCAATCACTGTACAGAAATGTCAAGGTTAATACTGGTATTCTACTGGAAATGGAATCCTCTTGCTCCTACTCTAGCTCACTCTCTGAAACAGCCTCTTCAGGAAGATCAAAAGCATCAACCTCAGCAAAATAGGCCCGCTGTTTCTCTATGAAATCCTGAGGCAACAAGGATTTGTTGATAGCTTCAGGCACCACATATCGCTGCCTCTGTACATACCACAGCACCACATGGAGAAAATTAGCATGATAAAACGGTGCATTACTAGAAAAGATAACAGAATGTCAAATCGTGGAAAGCATAGTATGAGAAAATAATAATGTACAATGCAGGACAGAAGTAGAAGAAATGATGTACACTATAAGATGGAACAATAAAAGTATTAAATCTCAGCTTTCCCAAAAATCTAGACATTATAGCCAAAGCTTGAACGTCAAACATCTGTTAATTGTGGCAAAGAACAATACACCTATTATTAATTGCGACACTCCTTTGAGCCGTATTCATGACACAAACGACTTTTGATCAATGTTTGTTTAACCACCCGAAATGGAATGATACGTAACGATCTAGCCGATACGTGGGCCACCCTGTTTCGGATGATCCAATTAAATTAATTAAAAATTAAAGAAATGGTGGGTTCTGTCCAAATCAGTGTTAATAAAGAAAAAAAAACAGATTAGAGCTCACAAACATGAGTACTCTTCTTGCCTAAGATGCCACCGCCTCACTATCGCCGCTTTGCCACTACTGCTTTGACACTTCCTCGTCGCTGTTGTTGCTGCTTCAATGATGCCATTGCCTCGCTGCTGCCACCAGTGCAGCCGCTGCCTCCCAAGTGTGCTGTCACTGCTCTTTTCCTGCTCTCCTTTCTTCTTCCTTATTCCTTCCTCCTTCCTCCTCTGTTCCTCTATCACCCCTTCCACTTCTCTCTCTTTTTCTTCCTCGCTAAACCACTGATACGCACTGGCATACCGTGTGTCGGTACACCAGTACAAACCAGTCCGACAAATTGCCGAAACGGGTCCTATACCCAAAAAGGCAATCCCTGCTTATGATTGTCATATACTAGAAACAACAGACGAAACTAATTTACACTGCATTACCATCAGTTTCCACTTGCATACCATTTAAACCATACTAGGAAACACAATATCTACGGATGAGATTTGCATGTTGAATGCCTACCTAAAACAATGGATGAAATATAAATGCTGAGAGAAAATCTGAAAAATCACCAAGCCAAATCTATAGAAAGATCAAGAAGATGTGTCCAATCAACAAAACTAGATTAAAAAAACTATAAAACATTATGTGCTATTGAAGACATACAGTTGTCCCCTCCAGAACAAGCAGAAAGACAAAAAAAAATGGTGCCCGAGTGCTGAAGAAGTCTCAGAAAAAGATGTAACAAAAAGATTCTTGTGAACAATGTATTCAACAACACTGCTCCAATAAAAGAAAATATAAATATTTTAAAGAAGGTTTCGCTTCTCATGCATAATGCATACACAATGAAGAATTTCAATATTTGCAAATGCACTCACTGTTCATGTTATTTTATGCTATCTATTTTATTTTGAAAGCAATTTATTATCTAATCGTTGCTTCTAACTTGCTTCAACCATTTTTAAAACTAACAAAAGAATTTTTTAAGTGAAACCAACCACTAACAGGCTCCATTTTTTTAAGAAAAAACAAAGCAAGAACAAACCTTTTTGCGTTTCTCAAATGGAACTGAAAATGCCTTTCGTCCACTGGCGATGGCATCACCCATCAGTTTTCCACTGCTGAAAGATACGAACAACATTAGAATATAATATGACAATACAAAAGTACTGAGCATAACTGATACACCTGTTTCACAGCACTAGTTGCTTGCATTTAACAACTGTCTTTTTCCATCCAATTACCCACTCAGACTAAGAACAGACGCCTTCTTCACAGCACAAATAGCTTGCATTTAACAACAGTTCTCCCATCCAATTACCCACTCAGATTAAGACCATTTGTATGAGACATTATATCAAATGAACTCTATCTCTACTGAGGTGTCATCTTCATTTTGAACGTATAAATTTCTTCCATACAAGCATAGCTCTCAACAAGAAGAACTTAAGAGGCTCAAGCAGAACAAGGAATGAACTAGCAACAAAAGGGCTGCAAACAATCTTTTAAGAGATAGATACTCCTTTGCAGAATAATCTTGACCATATCATAAAATTTTAACCACACCAACTCATTAGAAAATTTTCACATTAATACAATAAAATAAACTGACTGATGATAGTATGATACTACAGAGAGCATGACTAACAAAATGCTGCAACACCCACGAAGTTAAATCAAGAAACAACAAAAGATCATTCATAAGAGAAAAGAATGTGACTGCAAGGAAATCGTTATATTACTTGGTTGTAACTGTCCAAGTTTGTAGGAGGCAGTAGCTACCATTGCTACAGCTTTTCAATCATGGAATCGAAGGGACTGAACAATGAATTGTCATCACTCTATGCCCCAAAACAAAGAATTAGAAATACACTTGCCTCGCCTGACTCCACATATCATCCAATATTCCAACTACCCCTGATAGGTGGTGGGAAGCTCAATAGGAAGAGGAAGATTCTGAAAGTCAATGTAGCAGAAGATGCAATGCAAATCTTTTAGCATATTAAAAGATTAGATTCTAGTTTAAAATGAACTTTTAGAATGGACTTAAATAGGCATTTATGCATGGCAACATTATATAGTTTTATGAGTTTAAGCAATACAAAATAAAAGTTAGCCACAACGAAGAATGCAAAACAATATAAATGTAATGAGGTGATATTATAAATGCGCTACGCACTCGACAGTTCTAATCTTTTCAGCCGGGGGGCAACTGGATGTCGTGCAGGGTTCTTTACCCTTAGACTTTGTACTCCTCAGAATACTCCGTGTATAAACTACAGAATGCACAGATTTGTCGCAAGTAACACCATCTCCACCTGCAACATGTATAAGGAGTTTACACCACTAGTGAATTCCCTTTTGTTGAATAGAGATGCTAAAAAATGTCACCGAAAGTTGGTTCTTAGAATCATTAAAGATATTACCATAAACCACATAGCATAACCAAATACAACTTCCCTGATACTAATGAGACATATCAAGAGAAATTAAAGATAATATATACAGACAATCAACATCTGCAGTTTATTTTCACAATTGAAATATCTGACTCATGTCTGCCATGACCACATCACCTTCAGAGAAGAAAGGTTTTGCGGATGGTGTTTCACTATATCCACAGGAACCCACTCTTTAGCTTCCATCAACTCAAAGCTTCAACCAATTAGAATCCTAGAGCCTCTTTATGCAAAACTAGTCCAGCATCCATGAATATCAGTGTTGAAGCGCCCAAAACGAGTTATAAGTTATTGTTTACAAAAACATAGGTAGCAATTATGCCATGGATGAAGTACTATAACATGGCTATGGCTGAGTTTCTATGAATTATAGAGGAGTGACAACCATTTAGCCACATCATTGCACCTTCAGTGTTACTGATTACCAAAAATTTACTACTCAAAGGACAAACAACTGTCAGAACAACAATAAAAAAGAAAGAAATAAAACAAAGATTAGACTAACATGAAGATTACAAGTGCTCCAAGGAAAAACCAGAGCTAATGAGTTCGACAGACCTATGGAACTCCATTCATTCCTCGCATTAGCTAAGATCTTAACCCTAGAATACTCATTTAACCCCCGGTTAAGAACAGAACTACACTATGGCATTGTCGAAAGGGGTTCACTGTAATCTCAACAGATACAGACAGCACAAGAAGCCTAACTGGCATCGACTCCAGAACATTCATGGAAAAGACCAAAAGGGCATTTCGGCAGCGCAAAGCAGGGTACCTTGTATCCTCGAGATAATTTAGAGGGGAAAACAGAAGAAAGCTCACCGGGACCAAGGAACGACTCCTTGACTCCCTGAGGAGACGTGGGGACGACAGACGTGCCTCCATGCTCGCCTTCAGCGCCTCGGACGGAGGTGGCGGGGGGGATCGAAGGTGGAGGGAGAGCGGATTTGGGATCGGGCTCACGTTCCTCTAGGTGGAGCCGAGGGGAAGAGGAGGAGGTGGCGTTGGTGAGGTCAGCGAGCGGCGTCCTCTTCTTATCTTTCTGTTGCTGCCTCCTCGAGCTATACCGCTTAATTCTAACGACCGCCGGCTTCCCGTTGATTGGATTCGACGGGGTAGGAGTCGCCGAAGCCGAGGTCTCGTCAAGCTGTGCCGCGAGCTCGGACATGGGCAATCGGCGATAGAAATGTACGATTAGGGTTAAGGATTACAGAGCCTTGGGGTGGAGGAGGAAGAGAAGGAAAGGGGCGAGATTTGAGCGGCAAGGAACGAGAGCGAGAAAGGAATTTAAAGAGGGGAAACACAGGAGAACTGGAGTTCCAAGGGATGTTACAGCCGGATTCCTTTTTTCGGATTCTGATACCGTCTCCACTTAAATCCGATCCGATTAAGAAACGAATAATAACAAACCCGATTCGATTCAACTGAATCGCGCTGACGCCATGCGGATGTTATCGCCATAACCAAAACGTAACTAACTCCCGCTGACGTCAAAACTAAAATAATCATTAAAATTGAATTAGGTAGCTAAAGTGGCAACATATTGAAATAAGGGATTAGTAATAGAAATTTCCTAAAATTTAAATTTGCCATTAAAATTAAATTAACAATGATTAGTAATTAGCAAATTCATTATAACTATCAATTAACTCGACAATAATAATGAATTGGATAAATCAAGATCAATAACTTTAAATTATCATTAAATTATATCACTGTATATTTAAAATATAATTTTTATCTATTATTTATTAAATATTTAAAATATTTCATACATTCACTTAAGTTTCTTTCTCCAACATATATTAAAATATAAATGTGTCCCCAATGGAACCTATGTTGCTTGTCTTACTTGCCGCGAATATTTCTCCGCCTTCTCTTCCTCTACCCCAAGTCTCTGGAACCTGAACCCTAACCCTGCATTTCTATCGCCGGTTCTGTACCATGTCCGACTTTGCGGCACTGTCTGACGAGCCGTCGACTTCGGCGACTCCTTCCGCGTCGAATCCGGTCAGCGGGAAGCCAGTGGTCGTTAGGGTTAAGCGGAAGTCCTTCCAGTCGAGAGTCGATGCATTCTGTGAGTTCTTCTTGTTCGTTTTCTTCTTTGGTTTCGATTTATCTGGAACTTAGGGTTTAAGGTCTCTGAAAAGACGAGGAGGAAAGGGCAATGAAAGAAGAAAAGATGATACCACTTTCCCTTCCTTTGTTCGTATCAAAAAGGGAGAAAGGAAAAAAGATCACTTAGAATTATTTATTTGTTGTCAAATCCTCTTCACTTTTGGAAGGAATGAAAGAAAAGGGGGTTTGTACCGAAATTGGTTCTTACCGTTTCTTTCCCTTTTTCATTCAAGATTAATCTTGAGTTATTCTTCTCTTCTCTCTGCTTCGCTTAATCCAACCGGCAGTTAATCTTCTTGTCATCTGTTATTTTTGTGACACAAAGTTCAAGAACTTATTGCTGTCTTGTGCTTTTAGGGCTGGAAATCAATGGAAGGCCACTCAAGAGGCAATTGTTGGATTTCGCGAACCTCTCTATCTCTGATGCTGACACAGGAAAAGGTATCACATACCCTTTCTCTTATTTTTGTTTCACTGAATTTATTCCCATGGAGAGTTTAATAAGTGCCTATGTTAACATTTATTTCCCGTTTTGATTTGACCCAAGGGCAAATTTACCAATAATGAGGTACCGTGTAATATGCTGTAGTTACTTGTGCAGATTTCGATATAATCAGTAAACTAATAACAGGACATTTGTAGGAAATAAATCATTCATAGCATAGTTAGAAGGGTTCAACCATTCCGAATAGGTGCTAAATAGTCTGATGATGTTTTTTGCAATCATGGTTTTGAGAAGTAGATCTCTCGTGATGCAATAGATAATTAGTCAGTTACCAACTCCTTCGCAGAACTGTTGTTTCTTTTCTTAGTGACTTTTGTTTGGATGCTGGATGTCAGTTGCTTTATGCAGAGCTTCTTGTTCTGATTTCACATCCAACATGTTCTTTTTTATGTAATAGCCCCCTCTTTTCAATGTATGGAAAAAGAAGTTAATCAATTCATATTTCTCTTTTTTTAATCTTTTTACATCTAAGGTTCTTGGTTCCAAGTTTTCATATATTAAGATTTTTTTATTCATCATTCCTTATTCTTGAATAATCTTTTTGTCATGCACGGGCATATAAATTTCTTGATTTTTGTTTTTCATCCCAGGATTATATAGCTTTTATATTGAATGCCAATCTTATCTTCACAAACCAAAGCTTCTACACATGTTTTATTATGTTCATCTCATAACATTGGTGGATCTTTAAAATAGTTACTTATGTAGCAATCTTATATTGTGATATTAATAAATTAGTTGCCTTCTATAAGACTAGCATAGTTTGCGAATAGGCTTGAGTCCCACTGACCACAGCTTGCTTCTCTGTAGTTAAAATTCCTCCATGATCTCATTTCATTCATTGGAAAATGCATTCTTGTAAATTGAAGAAGCTAAAGATTAAGATCCTTCAGCATTTCTTTGACGTCATTTTTTTTTTTCTCTTGGACCAGTCAAGTGATCCTAGCTGTTACTTTGTTCAGATAGATATGCGTATGCTGTTTTGATGGTAGCTATAATTGGAATCAATTTGTTGGCTGGCCTCGATGCTCTCTAACCGAAGGTTTTATCTATTAATACTTTAATAGTATTATATAGTGTTGTCATTCATTTGAATTATATTCTGAGCAAGTTCAAAAGAATTTTTATTAGGACTTTCTTGGCTTTCTTTTTCGCGCTATATGAAAATATTAATATCATACAATATTACAATATATGAACCATGTTATTATTAGAAAAGCAGGAGTAATTTAATTTTTTCGATGAATTATAAGATAGTTACTATGTACAAACCATTTGAGGATCATAAAATTGAATGAAACTTTAATAGTCACAAGATTTACTAATGTTCTTGTTTATTAGCTAAAGGATGATTACTGTAGTGTGAAACAATAAAATTTTGGTACAAGAATTAATTGGAATTTTGTGGGTCTATCGTATGCGTAAGTTGTTCCCATTGGAATGAAAGAGGACACCTTTTAACTCTTGCAAACATAGTTGGTACAGATAAAATGTGATGATACATGGAATTTAGGACTTCATGGGGAAGTCTAACATAATGATGAAGATGAGGACTAAAAACATTAGAGCTTTCATACTTTCAAGTTTCAAATGATTTTTTTATCGGAATATTCCATTCATGTCATTTTTTATTTTCATGAATTCTTAGACTGAAAACTTCTTATTATTAAAAACATGCAGTTTTGGAGGAGTTTGGAACAAAGAAGCTATTAGTGCAGCATCTTGAGACAGTGAGGGCCTCTGAGGATATCAAAGATATGCTGCATTGTTTTCTGGTTTGTATCGGAACCTTGCTGCTCAGTTAAATTATTCTTATTGTCATTTATTAAAATAATGGTTGTAGTGCAATTTATTTATTTTTCGCTCATTCTTGTGGTAGTAGTGAGTGATGTTTTATCAATGGGCTCTAGTGACCTTTTGTCGCTCATTGTAATAGCAGAGGTTCATGAGATGGGGAGGGTTGTGTCCATTCTGTGACAAGCCAGTTTCCTAGGTAGTGGCCAATACCAATGATGCATAATCCGATGGCCAGGTCTATCTTGATGGTAATTGCAGTCAAATGACATGGTTTCCCATCATTGGTCGATTGAAAGTTGAAGCATTTTCATATGGCTGAAGTAGTAGTTGACAAAGTTGTCCGTGCCAGGTAGGCAGAGACAGTAGAGAAGAACAATTTCTATTGAGCGAGCCATCATCTGGTTCATGTTGCCACCATCTATTGGTTGGCAAGTCAGGGCACTTGGTTCACCCCTGTCAGGTAGGCTGGAAAATTTTTTTTTCTAGTTGTGCAAAGGTTAGGGTTTATCATTAACCTTTTCACCCCCATCACCTTGGAACACCATTGTTTGGTTTGCACTAGGCTTTTATGATATTGGACTTGACATCTATCCACACCACATTTGTGTTATATGACATGATAAGGATGTTGGGATGGGTTTCATGTTGGACCTTGCAAGCAACGAGCATACTCAACCAAAAATTGATCGAATTGATTGATCCCAAGCAAAGTCAGCCCTTGCTGATACTAGGTCAATTCTTTGCCACAGAGAAGAAAAGGATGTAGCATTAATTGCATGTCACTAGTTTCGAGGAGAAAAAAAGGCAAGAAGAGAAGGGGAGTGGGTGACAAAGTACTCTCTATCATCATTAACATGACAGCACCAGATATAGTATAAAGGAAAGGCATCCATTGATGATGAATTAATGCCGTGTTATATGAGGAATTAATCATCATGAAATATGATTTGAAGACCAGTCCTGGAATTGATCATAGAGAACTTCTTTAATTATGCCATATACTTATGAGTAGAGAAGAGGAAAAGAGAAAAGGAAAGAGTAGAGAGAGAGAGAGAGAGAGAGAGAGAGAGAGAGAGAGAGAGAGAGAGAGAGAATATGAGAAGGGAAGAAGAGAAAAGGAAAAGATAAGAGAAAACCCATATAATGCTTAATAACATGAAATGCATTAAGAGTTTCCGTAATTCTATACCAGTTTAAAAATTTTAGAAGTACAGTATTAAAAACTGTATATGTATTTATTTAAGATCATATTTTAAAACGATCTTAAATGGGTGCTTGGCCACTGCTGAGATTCTATATTTTGTTTAATTGTGAAAACATAGTTATTTTGTCCATTAGAAGAGTAGTCACCTAAAGATGTATTAGTTTGTTCATCACTTTGACATACATAGCTGGCAGTTTTTGATGGGTTGGAGCATTTTGTTTGCAGCTCTTTTGCTTGACTCATTGCCTCAAAGTATTTTCTTGAATGTTATGTAGTGGTTTCTATTTGTCATTTTTCAGTTGAATATTTCCTTTAGATAAATAGAGATCATAGAGTGGTCATACTATTTTCCCTAGCTTTAGTTTGTTCGTAAAAGAACTTGTATCTGTCTTACATCTATTTGCCTGATATGTTAACTTTATTACTTGATTAGTTTGATTCCTGGGCTTGGACTATATTTTTGATAAAAATATTGTGCTCTAAATGTATAATTTTATGATTCATCGTCTTATAGGATTAGTAGTTATCTGACTGTATTCCTTCTTAACTAGTTATTGAAGGCTAAAAATTTTATTTATAGAGTATAAAAATAGGAAAGGGGAGAACAAGCCTCATCTATGCATATCGTTTCTGGTTTCTTCTGATATGTGAGGATACATGTATAAATTTAGGGCATTGGAATACTGCTATCGTCATTCATTCATTTGTACTAATTATAAGTGGATTATTTGAATACTTTTTCGGTGTGAAGTAAGATAAATCTTGGACTGGATTCTTCTGTTGAATCTCTTAAGGACTTTTGCATCATTGGAATGTGTTACTTCTATGAACCTTAAAATTTTTAATTATGCTATATCTATGATGTCTATGCATGTCTAGATAATGTATTACATATGCTTCAGTTTAATTTCTAGACCATCTTTTCTTGTTTGCTTGTTTGAACTTTAGACCGTCATTATAATTTTGCTAGTCTCACATTCTTACTCTTCAAGGGGACAACTGTCTTATTGATTTTTTTTATTAGTGTTCGTTGTTCTTTACTTATTTTCTTGAATAAACAACAGCATGATTCCAGTTACTCAAAGGAGTTGAAGGGGAGGTCCGAAGAGCGGGGAAGCATTCTTAAACCAGATAAAGTAAGAATATCAATTTTTTTAGCAGTAAATTATTATGGTGCATTTGATATCTTCATGTCATCTGAACTGAGGAGATCTGGTGCATAGTTTATTTTCTATCCTTGGGTTCTCTGCTAGACTAACTTACACTGTTGCGATCTTTTTTATGCGTTTTCATGAGAATTAGCACTGCTAACTAGAAGTTCTACAACTATGTAAAGCATTTTTAATCTTTGCTATTTTTTCTCTTATTTTTTATTTTTAGTCAGGAAAACTAACCAAGTTTTATTGTTATAGAAGCATTCTTCTTTTGTAGAATGAAATTTAAAGCTTTTCTCTTTGAATATTATCAAAAGTTATGGACTGTTGTCTTTGTGATATCTGATTGACACTTTGCTGCAAGGGGGTTTTTAGTGGAATCTTAAACTTGTACTATAAAATATCAATTCTCTCTTTTTAAAAAAAGAATGATGTGCAAGAATTGTCTAGAAAGTAAGGTATTATCCTTTCAATTAGATACATCTGGTGGTTGATTATTGTGAATTGTTGAGCTTTGAAAGCTTGGATTATATTTGAACCAGCAAAGCCTCCAAATCTTTAGCATGTGGACTGTGCCTAATCTGAATCATCAATCAAATTATAATATATACTTGCTCAAATTGCAAGTACACATAATGGCATCTTGTTACACTGCCCAAGAATGTTTCTAACCAATAACGAGACTTGATACATACCTAACAAAACCAATGGTCCAAGCTTATGTTTGTTAGGTTAGGCTTGCAATCAGGCTAATGATGACTTCTAAGTCATAATTAGTTGATGAAGTTTAAGGTCTATAATCATATTCTACATGAACCTCAGAAACTCATGAGTGTAGCGGTCCTAGCTTATGTTCATCTTGATCAAGACTATCAATGCTGGTCTGAACCCATGCAGAGTGGAGAGCTTTTTGTTCAGGTACTTTTAGCAATTTCGGGAATTCTCACGATGATTGGTTTTGGTTGACTGAGGTTAGGATCAGCTAAGATAAACTTAATGGTTGGATCAAAATCAGGATCAGTTTTGGTGGTTTTGGCTTATCCACATTATTCATCACAAACTTGGTTGTTAACATTGAATTTTTGCTAATTAGAAGGACGTGGAAACTTGGGCTGAAAATTTGATTTGGATCAGATTTAAATCTATTTTGGCCAATCTAGATGGCTCATTGTTTGATCCAAGGTTCGCAATACCGTATCGTACCGGAGTTTCAACCTGGGCTCGGTACCGGTATGGTACGGTATACCGCAGGTGTACCGAGCGGTATATTCAGGCGTGCCGAGCACTGTAGCAATGCTACAGTACTGCTACAGTGTCGGACGGTAACATATGGTCCGTGTACCGAAAGTCTGGCGGTACCGGGCGGTACGGACCGGTACTGCAAACCATGGTTTGATCCACGGAACCATGATTTTGACATTATAGGCAGCAGGCTTAATAGCCCTGTTGTTGACCCAACAATCGAGAGGTCTGATATTGAGGCAATTATCCTCACCAATTAAGAAATTATATCAGAGTTAGAGGTTCGCATTCTGACCTAGATTGCATGGCTATGTAGATATAACTTCAGCAATAATGACATTGGGCCTTGAACCTGTGGGTCTCAGCTTGAACCTGGTTCTACTGGGGCAGATCTTTTTTTGATTGATGGGGTTTGGGACGAGCCAAATTTCACATAGTTTTGGTTAAAAGCTTGTTCACTAGAGGATTGCGACAAATGGAGCTTCAACTTAATTTATTATCGAATATATTTATCTTTTAACCTAAATTGAAACCTCTAAATTTGGTTTTACGATTTCCTCACTCAACTTGCTGCTGAATGTGGTTTTTTGGGCGACGCTGAGCATGCTGTGAAAGACCTATGTCACTAACATCTTCCCCAGTGAGGTGATCTACATTGTTTGAATTTGGGTTGGTGCAGCATCAAGCAGCTCCATGAGGTTGGCTGATCTTGGGTTGTGTTTATCAGTTTTTCTGTAAAAAGGATCCACTTTGACATCTGCTGGATGTCAAGGTTATTTGAGATGGAACTGTTCCTATTGTCCCCTTTCTCCCGTCAGTTCAATGCTCTCTCACCTGCCATGTCATCTGTTTCATCTTTCATCTCCGCCCTCAATCTAGCAAGATTTGCTGGCAGTCTCCGTTTGTTCATTCTTAACATCAGTGATAAAATCCCTCTCCCTCGTTCTCTCTCCTTCTCCCCCCCCCTCCTCTTTCTCTCTCCCTCATCTGCTGTGTTTCTGGTGGGTTGCATATGACAGATTCAGGATCCTAGAACACAAATTGGATAGAGTGGGGAAAGTGACTACTGCCGTGTCTATCTTGTGGGCGATAGCATGGGTTCAGTGATTGCAAAACTTGCCCTAAACATTCTATTGCACTCCTAAGCTCTGCCATTACATGTGTTAGCTTTAAGTGTTTACTGTTAATCATTATAATCATCTCAGCCTGGAATGTGAAAAATGTGGTCATGTTGATTTTGATGATATACTTGAAATAATGTCTCTTAATTGGTAAGTGGGTGACAGGTAAAAAGTGCAGAAACTGTTGTGTAATTTTGCAGAACCTAGATCCTGTAACGACTGCTAAGGCATTAGACTGGAGAGAGAAATAACATAAAAGCTTCTAGGCCCTTAAATTTTGGATGAACTTAAAGATGGACTGTTAAATTTTGGATGACTTCGTGGGAATGAGAAACTGCAAGAATAAACTATTGCTGTTATTTTTCATTACTTTTTTGCAAAATGATGGAAAATGTACAATTATCGCTGTGCCTATTTTATTGATATTATACTGTTTCCACAAACAGCTTCAATTGTTTTCAATTTAACAAACAGTTCTGCCTTAATGATCACTTTTATGCTTCCAGAAACAAGATCAGCTGCGGTCTGTGGCTGTAAAAAAGCACGAGGTACATTTTTATTTAACCCTTTCATGTTAATGCATGATAAATTGATATTTTTTAAATGGACGAGCTATTAAGGATAAACTTTGCAAACTGCTTTTCCTATGTTTCATATTATTGATAGGCATGTGTATGCTTTCATTTATTAACATTTTCATTTTAAAACCCTAAAGTGTTATGATTTTTCTGGAAATGTCTTCTTCTGCAACGTTTACACTAATTTTCTTCCCAAATATGATAATATCATCTTCTTGATGGTGGAAGCAACTTGAATATTGCCATGTAGGAGATTATATATACACACATAAATTTCATTTGAGCAAGTTTGATTCTTAATCATTGTTTGCAACATTCTTGCATCATTATATTGTTAAGATGTCTCACAACAGTAGTAGAGAAGTAAAGGTTCTATCTAGCTTAGTTGCTTGATCGTTGTAACAAGATCCTGCAATTAATTTCTGTCATCATCATTTAAAAGGAAAAAGATGATCTGACACAATGATTGTTCTTGTTCAACATTTTTCATTCAGATGCTTCATTTCTGAGCTGTGTAACTGAGTGAGACGTGGTTGCGAGTAAAGTAGAATAAAATGACAAACAAATATTTTGTAATTGTGATATCAAGAGGTTGCTTCATAACTGTTATAGGATCTTGCTCGAAATGCTCGATATGAACAAATATGGAAGAGCAGAAGGGGATGTACAGATGCAGCAGAAGAGGGTTTACATGAAATATGTCGTCTGTATGACATTGTCCGAGTTGACCTTGAGCATGAAACTAATGAAAGGGTGCATAAGCCCGAGTAAGTTGCACAATGCAGTAATGTTTGTCTTCTGCATCTTTTTGGCATCTTCTTTGATGATTTTAGACGTACTTCTTGAACTCAGAGTTGGTCCTGCCAATGATAGTGGAATCTTGTGTACATGAATGCAGTTTTATTTCTGCTGATGATGGTGCAATCTTGTGTAACTATGTGCCACTTTTAAGGGAATATCTTCCAGAAACAGCTGTAGAGATTGAATCTGGCATCAGGGAGTCTAAAGAAGGTTTCATCTACTTCTTTATTTTACACCTTTTAGCGTGTAGTAGCATTTTATGTTTATGCTTCAAATCAGTGGATATTAATTGGCTGGTTCTAACTGTGGCCATCAGGATATATGTTTGTGTGTTTTTAATATGAAAAAGCAATTTTATTCCTAGAAATGCATGCTGATTCACAAATGGAATTTCCAGCTTTGGTTTGTTTGTTTCTAGTTATGGCATTCCATAGTGCTACCGAAGTTTATACAAATGTTTTCATGGGTCTTAAAGGAAATAAATGCATAGCATTTGTCCTTCTTAAGATCTAGTGTCTTTTTTTTTTTTTTTGCAGTTAGTACATCTATTGCTTATGCGTCTTGAATCTTGTTTTACTTTTCTATATCAATGATTTATTTCGAACACCTGCTTTGTTGAAGACGATCTATGATGTTTGGAAAACCTAGAAATAAAAGATCATGTATATATTTTGATGTCAAGCTGGGGAAAATTAGTGTCTTAGAATATATTTGATTTGGTTGACAAAATAGAACGTTTAAAATATATCAAAATTACATGTTTTTAAGGTAGAGTAACACAGTGGTGGTTTGCTATGATTGGTATGCTTTGATATTATTGGTTGGTAAATAATATGGGTGTTGCATTAAAATCTTTCCACCGCTCTTTTATTTTCTTGTTGAGCATCGTTTATAGTTCACATTGATATGACCTGTAAACTGATTTGGTTGTTTGTCAAGGATGGTGCAAACACTGGTAAATGATTTTTACTGTCCTGGTGAACAGATAACTATGTTTATGACCTGTATACTGTTGGTGATGGTCTGGTCACAACCACCAGAGACACAACCAAGTTTCCGCTGTAAGAATCTGGGACACATGGTTGATGTTATGATGTTTGATTGTCAGTGATGAAGATATTCTAACATGTACTGTTTGTTACAGAGTGCAGGTAGCCGATGATGACTTTTATGAGGGACCATTGGAATCTGATTATGAAACTGATGATTCAAATGGTTTGTATTTTTTTCTGTCCCTTCAATAATGTTTATTTTTTTTCGATCCCTAGATAGCTGTACTGAAGTTTTTTTTTTTTTCCCTTTTTCTTTGTGCTAACTGCAGCTGAATGCAATACGCGGAATGATTATCCTGATGAAGAGTCATCTGGAGATGAAGCCAAAGGTGAAGATAGAGATGATTTCTTTGATGACCTAGAAGGTTCAGATTCAGATTCAGATTCGCAGGAAGAAGTTGATTTTGATGAAGAAGTTGATAGTGATGAAAAAGCTGATATTGATAAAGAAGATGACAAGGACTAGAGATGGGGGATACCGTTAAAATGCTCGATAGCTATTCAATCTCTGAGACAATGAAGTTGGAAAGAACCATGCTTTTGCAGCGTACTTTGCCCCGGGTTGAAGACATCTCGAACAGTCCATTTTAGTGTTTGAGGATGCCGAAGAATCTTGAGAAGCGCAATGTTGTAGTTAAAAACATCTATAGTGAAGTCCTTTGATGCTGAAACTGCTTTCAGACGAGGATGGAGTCTGTGAATCATGCTTTTCCTTGATGCTATAATGATCCATACAGGAAATGCATTTGTTCGTGGTAGTAACGATGAGGGTTTTACGACAGCCTTACAATCCTACCGTTTCCGCCGTAGCCAGGGAATGTCTCCGTAAGCGTAAGGCGTCCTTCCACAAAGTGGACGTGATGGGATAGTAATGGCTGATGCTTCTGCTCGTGCCAGCCTACCGACAGATTCCTACTCTCTATTGCCCCCCAGGTGGCTAACGATGTTGGAGCCGATGGCTATGGAGCTTGTAACTACAGCCAGAGCTAACATGACCGACGCTACTACTTTATCCCTTGTCTTCGATATCCCTTCCACGTCCCTGCAACAAGCACCAGTTTCATCAGGACACGTTGGAGCGCAGCAGCAGTTCAGGTGGATCAAGATCATCATCGTACCTTAGAACGATGGCGGCCGGGAAGATGAGCGAGATGCAGACCGCGGTCGTCGATCCAAAGAACTGGAACAAGGTCCATATGCTCGGGAAAAGTATGGAGGCCGTATAGATGAACCCCAGCAACAACACCGTAAGGAGCACGAAGCGGCAGGTGTCGGATGCGTGGTGGCTGGCCTGGGGTAAGAGGAGCTCATCGATGCTGATCCGTAGCGAGAAGAACAGCAGGGGGAACACCAGCGCCAGGTGCAGGACGTAGCTCAGGCGGACCGCGTCGTTGAGGAGACTGCCGATGGGCGAACCCGTGTCTCGATCGAAGTTGGACAGGACGTCCGCCATCGTCGACTCGCCAAACAGAAGATAGCCGAAGAACCCGATGGCCGCATAGATGAATGAGCATAGCAATATGGAGATCCGGACCGCCACCATCATATCGGAAGTTTTGCTGAGTTCGGCTCGGATAGGATGAACTGCAACCGGCAAGCTTAGATTAGCAACTCGCGGCAGATGCATCTAATAAGCATTTGGAAGGGAGATGCAGTACAACTATTCGAGGTATGTGCGCATAGGAGAAGTAAGAGATTGGTCTTACCATTGAAGTGGAAGGTGAAGGCCACGACAATGATCGGAACGGCAGTAAAGAGCTCGAAAATGGAAGACATGTGGCCAAAGTCGGGTAGCAACCTCGGGGTTTCCGTGGCGCCCTGGAAGAGAGCATAGAGAGCCATGCCGGTGCTTATGCACATAAACACCACGGCGAGGAGCACCGATATGGCCGACGTGAACCTGAGCGAGTCTGCCATTACACGCAAATGCGGATGCCACAGTCGTAAGATCACCAAAGCAAAGCACCGCACGCTACATTTAGATGTATCGATAACATATGTACATATGTTCCAGGAATTGAGTGTCTCTCACCGACGCGTCTGAGGAGGACCAGCGGGAGCATGATGAAGACGGCGGTGAAGAGCAGCGCCACCGCGCGGGCGTTCCACCACCGCTCCCCGAACCACTCCTGCAGCACCCCTATGTGGGCCACCCCCTCCGATTGACTCCCAGACAGAACGTCCCCTGGGCCCGACACGAAAACATGAGCACACCGTCAGCGTCCCGTCCCACCCGCCTCCCCCCTTCCCCTCCTCGGTCCGTACAACATGTGAATCACGAGGCGGGTCGGCGACGACAGATCACGAAATGGAAGCGGCAACGTGGTAGGGGTGAGTCGTCCTTCCTTGTCTCGAGCGGGTGACACGACCTATCACCAACCCCGTGCTTCGGACGCTGTCCCTACGTAGGGTCGACGGGTGGAACGTCGCCCCTCGAGACCGGCAGGGCGAACTTGCCCCCGCCTGTCACGGCTCATGGCCTGGTTCCCGCACCTCTGAACTTGATGCAGGTTGGCGAGACGCCACGAACGGGTAAGGGAAAAGTTTGGGAGACTGTCTCCTTACCTATGATGACGAGGTAGACGGTGAGCGTCCCGGCGGTGGTGAGTCCGACGCAGACGTGGAGCACCAACGAGCCCGCGCGGCCGAAGGCCTCCCCCATGGCGGCCGCGTACGAGAACGGCGCAGCGCCGCCCGACCCCGCGTACCGCAGCAGGAACTCAGCGGAGGCGTCCGCCAGGAACGCTGCTGCGACGACGAGGAAGAGCGCTGGGACGACTCCGAGCACCCGCACCGCCGCCGGGAGCGACATGATCCCCGCCCCAATGATGGTCGTCGCCAGGTTGAACACCGCGCCGGGGACAGACGCTTCACGGCCTCCGTCGCCATTCGACGCCGCGATGGGCCGAAACTCCGGCAGCAATGGCGCGACCGCGTCGCCACCCTTCGCCGAAGACGACAGCTTCATCCGGCCTGTGATCTTTAGAGGACGCGGAGTGGAGAGAGGGTCCGCACTGGTATTAAGAACCTATATGGAAAGATGGGACTGACAATTTTACTAAATTAGCCTTAATGATAGGGAATACGGGCCGTATTAAGAACAATGTTCGTGGGTTGACTGCGGTCAAAATAAGGTAAATATGTCATTTTAGCTGATTGTACTCGGAAAGCATGCAATGTGCGAGATAGGATCACCATATTGTGCCCAACTATAAAGAACCACGTCATCACGTTTATACGGGGACAACCCTCATTGGCCTACTCGCGTCGTGCGTGAGTGGTGGCGTGTAGGAGCTGCACCTATCGTTGGTGTATCAAGAGCTAAACTGCACGTGGCGACGAGTTACAGTAAGTTGGAAGCCAACAATGATTGATGTACATGGACGGGAAGTTGGATCGAGGGGGTAATCCGCCCACAGCTTGTTCTCCTCGTCGATCCGACCGCCACCCGCCAGCCCACCAGTTCGCTGATTGGGCAGCTGATGTGGGTCCAGCACTACTAGTTTCAGGCTGTTTGTCGCGCGACGGAGTGCGTATGTCTTCATACGTCTGCCGCAGCCCAAGCTTACTTTCGTGTGCCTGCCTCCATCTCAATACCTTTGTCCAAACATAGTCATCAGATTCAAACCATCTAAATTGGTAGATCGAAAATATCAAGAACAAATTTTGATCCTGCAGAAACTCCAGGTCTCGCCGTCTCCTACAGCACCTGCTGCGCGATGATCCATGACAATGACTCCTACTGTACCTGAAAGCCCAATGGGTTTGTGGTCCATCAATGACCGAGTTCGAACTTTAAGCAATCATGTCGGAGATCGGAGCAGCACTCCGTGGAGGACGTCCGGGAATGAGTCAATTCTCTGCTCAGTTCTGATGCGGTCTGTTCTGGTCAAGATTGACTTTGGAGTTCATTCCTCGTTCCACCATGGCGGGGCTGCCGTATGAAACAAGGTCCGCTCTCCCACCAACAAGGAGAAAACAACAAGAAGACTTCATCGGTCAGGCTGCTACCTGGTCAACAATGGCGCACAGTCTGCTGCCGTCTTATTAATGCCAATGTAACAGTTAGAGTTGCCTTTCCTCTCTGTGTTTGTTTGACCCCGTGGTGTTTGAACGGGTGATGGCAGTTGGGATCTACCAGTCTTTTCCCTGTGATCTTGCCGTCTCTCTTTATTAAGCCTCTGTCTCTTTTTGTTCTTTCTGTGATCTGTGATCTGTCTATCAACAAGAGAAAGCTTTCATGGCTCCTTTCCTGTGACATCGACTCCTTTCCTTTGGGAAAGCTGTAGTCGTTCGCTGCCATCGTGAGAGTAGGAAGAGGCAGGAGGAGGGTCATATCCTCGAGGTAAATCCCTCTCTTGTCGGTAGCAGATCTTTTAGATTCTAGCATGGGTGAAAGTGATCCCGGGCGGGAGCACTGTGTCCAGATCCCATTGCTCCCGGAAAGACTACCGGAACAGAGAGACAGCAGGAGAAGGTTTGTGGATTTGCTGAAAGCTTCTCCATCCCCAGATTGGTTTAAGAAGCTCCAATTCCCTTCCCCGCTCAAGATTTTCCGACGAACTCTAGACCGAAGAGAGGAGATATCGCTTTCGGTGCCTTCCCCCGTCGGCGGCCAGCGGCGTTTCCATGTCCAGTTCCTCAGAAGAATCGACTGGCGTTCTCTCTTCCGTACCTGCAAAGGATGGCTCAAAAACCCCATGAACATTGCTCTTCTTATCTGGCTCCTCTGCGTCGCCGTCTCCGGCACCATGCTGGGCCTCCTCCTCCTCGGACTGCTGAACGACGCGTTCCCCACCAAGTCCCTGCGAA